GGACACAAGGCTTTACTCCGGACTTAATCCGGATCTACAATAGGTGTTTTAAGCCTTAATTCGTAAGAAATTGACCAATTATAATCGAATTCCAGGGGAATAATCGACTGTGATTCGTCCATTTCTTATGGCTTAAGACTTAAAACTCTATTGGAGATCCGGGGTTACCATCTGGGCTGCGTTCGGAAACATGCCCGTGTATCATTTTATCCTTGTTGTTCACCTAATGTTAAACAAGGATAAGATGATACACAGGGTACCCTGGGGTGCGATCTATTTGACGCGACAAATGTTTCGGAACTTTTGATTGACCAATCGGAAGAAAGAATTTTACTAACTGACCAATCAAAAAATGCTTCGAAGCATTCGCATAGCATCAAGAAAAAAAGAGTACGTATATTTTTTTTTAAATGATTATAATGCGGAAACGGAAAGAGGGGGTATAATTTTTCTCTGCGTTTTAAATGCAGGTATTTAATAAAATAAAACTCATAGAACTTAATTTTTATTGGAAATATTTATTAATATAATTTGGTAAACATATTTTAATTAATGACCAGAAGCAGTCAAAAAGAGTACGTGTATTCTTTAAAAAAAGTACGGTTGGTAACCCTACACGTGACCGATAAACCACGATATAAACTCAAGTTTTGATTTTTTTCCTTATAGCTGAATCTGTTGTTGAATCATGCGTCTGATTACATATTTTGTTGTGTAATGCAGAAAATATAACGCAAGGTTGGATCCTAACAACTAAACTTTTAGCACTTTTCGTCCTCTTTTCTTTCCAATGTTACATACGCAGTTGTTAGATTGAGGAAGTGATAAATACCGGTTTTTTATGACTGTTTACGACATTTAATACCAATTACATATCGCTGTTGATATCACGGCAAAATAAGTATAAAATCGTCCGTCTACAAAATAAAGAAAATTAACATCATGAGTTTACACTGGAAGATATTTTGGGGAATGAGACAAAGGTATTTTAGTTTCATCCTTTAGAAAATATATCTAACATTAATTGGAATAGTATTATTTTATGTAACATATTTTTATATGTACTTTCTTAAAATTTCATGGATTACTAATTAATTTTAGATCACAAATATCATCACTGCAATTGATAGTAAGAAATTATAACACCTGCCAGGAATCCACAGAAAAGAAGTATGGATCTTCTAAGAATGTGAAGAATCCTGCTATGTTATATACAACCTGTATTGCTATTGCTGCATCAGTTTTAGGTATATCTTATTACTCTCTAAAATACAAAAGAAACGTTTATGCTCTCAGCGCGACACAAAATGTAAAATGTGGTCAATTACGAAAGGACATGAAGACCTATACCTTAGAAGAAGTAGGAAAACATGATAGCAAAGAGAAAGGAATTTGGGTTACTTTTGGACAAGGTGTATATGATATAACAGAATTTGTCGATAAGCATCCAGGTGGTCCTTCAAAAATTATCATGGCTGCTGGAGGATCCGTTGATCCATTTTGGATGATATTTGCAAATCATAATACACCAGAAATACACTCCTTGCTGGAATCCATGAGAATTGGAAATATATCAGAAGAAGATGCCAAATCTAATAAAAGCGATCTGTATGATCCATATGCAAATGAGCCTATTAGGCATAAGGCTTTAAAAATCAACGGCAATAAACCCTTCTGTGCAGAACCGCCACCTTCACTATTAGTTGACGGTTTTCTTACACCTGTGTAAGTGTATTATTCAATTGGCTTTTTTCTTTATGAATATATAAACAAATTTCAATTAGCGTGTTATATTGATATTGCATTCTACTTTTTTTTCAGTCCATTTTTTTATGTGAGAAATCATTTGCCTGTGCCTGAGATAGAATTAAAGGATTATACACTAGAATTGGCAATAGAAGGGACAACTAAAAAGACGCTCGATTTCAAGACACTAAAAAAATATGAAAAGAGGACGATAACTGCAGCTGTAATGTGCGGCGGAAATAGACGTTCAGAAATGTCAAAGGTAGACCAATAAAAAATTACTGGTCAAGTTGCTCAAATTAGTACACAGTACTGAATTCACTTACAGGTAAAGCAATTGAAAGGTATAAGTTGGAACGTGGGCGCTATTGGCAATGCAACATGGACAGGTGTACGATTGTGCGATGTATTAAAAGATTTAGGAGTCAATGAAGATGCATTTAATCACGTTCAGGTATTTTCTGCAGTATAAAAGTAACCTGTTTTTCATAATATTATTAAATATAATCCTAAAAGTTATATGTTTAATTATATATATCTTATGCATATAAGCAATTTACAATTTGTATTAAAAATACATAAGAAAAATATTTTCTTCACCAGTTTGAAGGATACGATCTAGATCCATCTGGCATGCCGTATGGAGCAAGTATTCCGATTTCCAAAGCTATGGATCCTAGAGCTGATGTGATTTTAGCTTATGAAATGAATGGTGAATCGTTGAGCAAAGATCACGGATTCCCTGTTCGAGTAATTGTTCCTGGTGTCGTGGGTGCAAGAAATGTAAAATGGCTGAGTATGAAATATTTCCAAAATTTTAATATAATTGTACATAATTATTGGATTTGTACTTAACATCAAACTCATTCAACAGATAAAATTAATGTATCAAAGGAGGAGAGCCAATCGCAGTGGCAACAAGGCGACTACAAAGGGTTTTCTCCGAGCACGACTTGGGACAATGTAGACTTCAGTAAATCACCCGCGATACAAGAAATGCCTGTAGTATCGGCGATATGCGATCCGCAAGATTTAGACGCAGTCAAAATAAAAAATGGAAAAATTCAAGTGAAAGGTAAATATGAAAACAAAATAAAGTTTAAAATATCAATTTCATTAGGTTTGTGACAAGCATTGTATCCTAAATTTCTTAAATATCTATAAAATATAACTGTTACTATTTTATCAGGTTATGCATGGTCTGGTGGTGGTCGAAAAATAATTCGTGTTGACGTTACAAATGATAAAGGTGAGAAACAAGAAAATGAGACTAAAATCAGTTTTATTTCTAAAATTATTTTATTTCTTTAGCTGCATTTTAGGAGCGTGCTATCAGCACTGCTACGTCATTTTATCTTTTTATTATGTCTAATGAACGATAAAGATAAAACAAGCGCGGATAAAACCCCAGCTTTTTAATGATCTTTTATCATTGATTTTCTGTTTAATTATAAAGGTAAAACTTGGCATACAGCAGATCTGACGGAAGATCTTCAGGCAAAAGAAGGTCAGCACTGGAGTTGGTCATTATGGAATGTGGAACTTCCTGTGGATAAAAAATCGAGAGAAGTTGAAATCTGGGCAAAAGCTGTTGACTCATCGTATAATGCGCAACCGGAAAGTTTTAGTAACATCTACAACATTCGAGGATTGCTCTGCAACGCGTATCACAAAATTAGAATACAATTAAAACAATGAAAAATTGACTTTTCGTTAATCATTATGTGATACATTATCTATTTTAAGTCTTTAAGTTCTTGCAAGTCAAGAATTCGGTGCTTTCTATTTTATAACAAAATTTGTGATATTACGTTGTGATATTACTATTCAAAAATACTTTGTATTAGACCCACATAGTACAGCAGCGCTTATAAAGCACTAAAAAAGCGCTTATGCAGGTGCATGACTCTAGCAGTTTTTAGCGCTTTTAAAATCTATTATGAAAAGCGCACTATTAGCGCATACAATCAACACAAAATAAAGTTACTTCAGATAGAGTGAAAGAATTTGAGAAGATGGAAATAACAATAATTAAGTTTTAAACAAATCTTATAATATCGCGTTAAAATTTTTTCAAATTTTACTAGATATGTCTCTTATATATACAATTATTTTTAATTCTGCAATAGACGTAAACATTCCAACCATTTTCAGAAAAAGTCTCAGAGTATTCAAAGAGATAACTTGTGAGATAATAGGAAAGAATACTGTTATAGTTTTTCAAGTACGTCTCGAATGGTTTTCCTGTTTATGAGCAAATCTGAGATTCTTCATATCCTTACAAAACACCTCGATTCCATAAGAATTTTCTCTTTTATGCACCGCTGATTTTTTTCACTACAAATAGATCGTTAAACATTAGCCAGTATTCATAGTATATGCATTGTATGTATGTATATATATACAGGGTGTATCTGAAATAACGTACACTATATATACAGTGCTATTCCTAATAAAAAACTGAGTCAAAAGTCTACCATTTTGCAATTTTCACAATAGTTAACAAGATATTAATTACTAAAAATCGCTGAATATTGGTTTTCAATAATTTTTTATTCAAATATTATCAACTTTACAGAAAAACTGCAACAGACAAAAATCATCTATTTTCTTCTTATAAAACTCTAAGAATTTTTTCAGAATTTGTCATCAATTTTTTTTGTAACAAGTATTGCATTTTCTTATTTTTACCAACATGAGAAAATACGGTATTAAAAAATTCTGAAAAAATTCTTAGAGTTTTATAAGAAGAAAATAGATGATTTTTGTCTGTTGCAGTTTTTCTGTAAAGTTGATAATATTTGAATAAAAAATTATTGAAAACCAATATTCAGCGATTTTTAGTAATTAATATCTTGTTAACTATTGCGAAAATTGCAAAATGGTAAAGGACTTTTCGACTCAGTTTTTTATTAGGAATAGCACTGTATAGGAATAGACTAGTGTACGTTATTTTAGATACACCCTGTATATGTAACACATAATGAGATATAATGAGGTGATATACTTGTTTCTGTGTAATAAAAACTACTTCCAAAAACTTTTTGAACTAACTGGTATATTATTGATATATCGACAAAGAAAATAGATATTGAAAAATTTGTTAACATATCTTTTTTTTCTTGGAATCAAAATATTTTCTTCAGCGTCGAAAACGTGGAGAAAAATTGATGAAAGACGGCAAGAAGTGCATAAAATGCTTTAAAAAAAACTATGTAATGAAAGTGCATAACTGACAGCAGTTTTGAGAAATACAATCTGAAGAGCGCTTTGAAAGCGCTTTCCACGCGCTGCTGTGCTACATGGTGATATATTTAGAGAAAATTATGCTCTCTTGTTATCTTTTATATATTTTGTTCTTCAATCATTCTTTTCTCTAAACAACGATCAAAGTAATAACTTTAGATAGAAATTGTTATAATAATTGGCGACGCAAAGATTTCCCGAATGCTCCTAGTGACGAAATGTGGAACTAGCGTAAAGCAGACAAACTAAAGCTTCGTAGATTATCTTGTATAAAGTTAAATGTCTTTTTAAATTTATTTTTGAAATGTTATCCATAATAGATGTAGTAAAATTAACAGAAGGCTTTGTGAGACCCATGCATGAGGGTGAAGAAATTTTAAATAGTGGACTAATCATTTACGTTGGCAAAAAAGATAAAAAAGATACCACAGTGCAAGCGCTTGTCCTTAGAACCTCTGGCCTGAGCAGTCAGCATCCTTATTTAATTGAACTTTGGATTGATGTAGCAAAGAATTTTGGCTCAAGAGTTATAAATGAACAGTCTTTGGAATGTGGATGTCCAGCTGGGCAATCACAAAAATGTAAACATGTTGCAGTGATGTTGTTGCAGTAATGCTGTACTTGTCTCGGTTTGTTCACTTAGTTATTATATTATTGGATACTTTCATTGCAAAATTTTTATGAAAAATCATATAAAGAAGTTTGCTTAAATAAATTAGTCTTTTCTTAGAGTCGAAGAATCAGAACTAAACGATCTTTAGTTGCACTGACATCGAGCAACAATGGGGTTCATTAAAATCTGTTACTTTCAAGGAATATAAAGCAAAACTTTCTGAATTGTGTCATGTAAAGTCACAGAAAGATATAAACATATCAACTTTACCAGAGGTTACAAAGGAGATGGAGCAAAGATGGTGTGATCGATTAATTTATTAAGTTAATATTATATAAGTTAAATTAAGTTGTAAGCGAACCGCATAGTGTTGTAAAATATTTTCAACTCATAAATATAAATTTTTTATGATTTTTTTATATTTAAAATTATACTTAGTTACCACTTGCGGCCGCTAGGCGCACTGGGGAGAATCTTTGCGTCGCCAATAAGATTGGAAACGACGATGTACTTATAAGAGTACATCATCTAAATACGAGAAACGCCGATTTTCTGTCAAAGTTAAATTTATATGTATATATGTGTATTCTTTAAATGAATTTATCTCAGAAATATTGCGTTATTGTCTATTATATACAACTAAACTTCCGTTACTAGCGGACTTTCAACAAAATTATCGATCCAAAAATATTAATAATCTCCCCAAATATTCCAAAACCTGTAAAGAACTTATTGCAAAAATTATTACCTCGGCCGGGACGAAATTATTATATTTTACGATGAATTGATATTATATAATTATTGTAATTGTTATAAACAATTTTCAGTTTTGTAAGAAAAATTTGTTCAATAAAACTCGTGAAGTCAAAAAACTTGTGATAAACTGATGTTTTTTTATCTGTGAATCACATAAACAATAAAATGCATTTTAAATAAGGTATTTATTCTTTAAAAGAATAAAAGAAATTCTGATTGCTTTTAAATTCCTCTTCCATGCTTTTAAATATAGATAATTTATTTTTCGACATTGGCAATTCTGGTTTTGGAGGTACACGCTCACGCCGCACGAGGTCTTTCAATTCAAGTTGATTTTATAACCTAGTAATATTATTTTTTTTTTTTAAGCAATATCGTATCTAAAGACCTTTCTTGATCGAATTCCATTATATATATTCGTAATATATATAATATATACAAATTATAGAAAGTTTGGTGAGAATTGATATTGAATAAATCTTTGTTAATTTCCACAATTTTACATCTTTAAACCACGATGTAGATGTAACAGATCATGTAACATTGTGTCATGTATTACATTGAAATTTTGAATTCATATCATGTAGCAAGATTTCGGATTAAAAAATAAATATATAAATAATATTTTCATTAAAATTAGATGGAGAGAGAATTAGATAAATGTACAAGATATCTAATATTTCCTTTCTTTTAAAATGTCGTAAAAGCTATTTTGGAAGAATCTAATATTATCACATTGCATTATTATATATGAAAAGATATACATATATCCTAACGTATTTCTAGAATTTGAATATGTGAACAAAAGAAAATAATTTACCGTACTAATGGCTATGAGAAAAAGGAGTGGCTCTGGTGCCAAACGTCAACATAAATGCAAGCTAGTACCGATCTATGAGAGTTTCTTTAAAGGTGAAGACTTGACACTAGCTCATCCAAATTTCTGGAATGAACTGTTCCTTATTAAACCTATGGTATGTATCTCTAATTTTTTTAATTATTGTCTAACCTATGAGAGTATAAGTTAATTATAATATTTTAGGTACCTCACATCGAAAATGAAATTCTACATATGACATCGGAACAACTAAATGCCAGCAAAGAAAATTTAAATGCATTGGTATGCCATTGTGTCGATACATTAGTCGACGAACATCCATTTAGAATAGTATACGCGTTGCAAACTTTAGCAGCTGTTATCCAATCCATGTATAAGAAAGCCAACCAGGGAGACTATGGGTTTAATTTAATAGATATTCTTGTAGGCTTCGATTCTGCAGAACAGAGGATGACAACGTTAATGCAGCATTGCAATAATTTTTTAACAGGTAGATACATAATTATTAATAATTATATAGGCAACAAAAAATTATTAATAATTTGTATAAGTATATATCATCAGTTTAATGTTCTTGAAATAGATTACAATTTATCGGATTTATCCTATACTCTTTATTATATATATATATCAATATATGTATATATTATGTTATTTTAAGTAACTTTTTAAATATAATATTAGCAAGGAAACTAATAAAAGAATTCATGTTATTTAGGTGAATATCCGGACAGTTTAAAAGCTTTGTGCCTGAAATTGTTATTAATAATAGTTACTGGTATGGATAATATCAGTCAAAATACCTTACTGGAATACGTGATGTTAAACAGTGTTTTTGAATCGCTAATTCAAGTATGTTAAATATTTATAAATCATAATTTTTCTATGTTTATGCAATGAAATTTGAAACAATATTTGATCTTATGTATTAATAGTTACATATATTATTTTGTGTTATAGTTGTTGAGAGATACAGCTGCTAGAAATCGCCATGGTCATGATGCGGTTTTATTGTTAACGCTTCTAGTCAACTACCGGAAATATGAAAGCGCAAATCCGTATATCGTCAAATTATCAATTTTGGATGACGAATTAGCCTTAAATGGATATGGGCAAGCTATATCAAGTTCGTTGACGGAATTTTGCCGGCAATTTGCTCAACAAAGAGCAGGTATTTTATATAAATGCAATAGTAGTACTAATAGTAGTTTACTGTAATAATACAACTATTTAAATAATTAATATGTACCGTAAACATACTCCAGAATATAATAATAATAATAATAATACAATATATTTTCAGAAATACAAGCATCTTGGTTGTCTTCGTTAACTAGTATAGTTGGTAGCATGTTTGTTGGAGAGGAAGAAGCAAAAACGCAACAAGTTCGTGCAAATAACGCTTTACTTTTAGCTTTGTATGAAGCTACACACTTAAATCGTAATTTTGTAACTACTCTGGCCTATACGCAAAGCGATACTAGTGCACCTCCGTCGCCGAATAACACCCTGGGTCCAAATGCAGTAGCTCCTGGTGCTTCACCACCTGATGTGATGGCTCAGCCGTTCAATCTACTAGCAACCTTTCTGCAGTATTGGTGAGAGAAGAAAAAAATATAAAAATTAATATAAAATTATTAGTATATGTTTAGTAATCTATTGCTTAACGTGTTTATAAGATATCTGTTTGCATTATAGTTCGATAGTTATGCAAGTAATTCGAACGGAGGCTATAATGAACAATGTGAAGTTGTGCTTCTTGATACTAAGCTGTATCGCGGAGGACCAATACGCAAATAGTTTGATGCACGACGCAAATCTGGCATTCAGAGTTCAGTTACATAGAGTACCTATGCATCATCGAAAATTGCAGGACAAAGCAGCGCCTGCTCAGCCACTCGCAGCCACGTTACTCGGTATTGTTTTCATATCAGAAGTTACATATTCTCTCGAAATATCGTATATTAGAAATCAAATAAGGCAGAATTTATTAATAACTTTCAGCTTATAAAATATTACTTGAATATAAATTGTTTAAATTTTGAGAAAAATCGTAACGAATTAAAAGATATGTTTTAAATGCTCATTTCATTTTATTTAAAATGATTATTTTCTATATCGCTTCATTATAGATTTGCTCGTCGAATTTGTGACATCACATATGATGAAGAAATTTCCACTTGAGTTATATCATCAGTGTATCGGCGTTTTACAAAGACTGCTGTGTTATCAGAAGAGGTGTCGTGTCAGGCTTGGTTACCAGTGGCGGGATCTTTGGACCGCACTAATCAATTTACTTAAATTTTTAACAACACACGAAAGCCATCTTGTTAAGAAAATGAATATATTTCCTTTAGCTATTCAGGTAATAAGACATTTGAGAAAATGCATCGTCATACAATCGAACAAGATAATATTTTGATTACTTTTCAACAGGTAGTGAACATCTTAAATTTTTTTATTACATATGCTGATACATTCCTATCGTCACCCAATAGTTACGATGAATTATTTTACGAAATTATTCGAATGAGGCTTATTTTTACCAATCTAAATGCCATGGGTAAGTCGATAATAGTATAAGAATTTTAGCACTATAAACGAAATAGTGTTTTAACGAAAAATTAGTGTTATAACGAAAATAAAATATTCTATATAAAAATATTCTAGCACTCAGGTATTCGACTAGTGAATCGTATGAGTACAAGGAACACGCACTTAAATTAACCAATTCTCTCGTTAATGTGAGGGATATAGTAAATCATTTTCCACCAAAGATAGCTGCGTGGCTAGCGAAGGAAAGTTTGTCGACACCAACGGAACAACAAATTCTAGCTATTATAATACAGAATTACGATAGTCTCGCTTTAAAACTGCAGGATAATTTGGATCAATACGAGAGATACTCGGAAAAGCCTAATCATACTGCATTTTTTGAGGAAATGGTAAAATAAAATGCATAATTCACACACACACACACACACACACACACACACACACACGTCTTGCACTATGGTTTTCTTATATATTATTCTTATATATGTTATTATTTTTAGGTAACTGGAGTGATAGTGGATACACGGGCTTCGATAGATCTTAATTCTTTAGATACGCAAACTATATTAGAAGAGCTTTCAAATATTTCATAATGTAAAAGTGTATACATTGCAATATATTTTCAACATTGTGGTTACACTATATTATTATAACATATCCTTCTCTTGCATATTCCCAGCTAGTTTTTCTTATAAATTAATCAAAAGTTAGATATATCATCGTCGATATATATATTTTAAGATTCTTTATAATTTTTATTTTTTATTATTCCTTAAATAGGCCATATATACATTAGATCTAGAAATTATCCTATCTCAGCGAATAAAACCTACAGTTACAAAATAAATATTAGTCTTATTATATAAATTCTCAATATTGTGTAATAATAATATTGTGCAATAATATTGATCATGCGAAGACTACATTGAGAATTTATATAATAAGACTAATATTTATTTATGATTAGGAGGTTTTATTCGCTGAGATAGGATAATTTCTAGATTTAAGAGTGTAATCCAATCGGGGTGCAAAACGCTTACTAAATACTGAACGCGACCAATGATACAATATATTTCACAAACCTTCAATATAGTCTTCAGACGATCAATAATATTGTGAAATAATATTGATCGTCTAGGGGCCGCTTAAAACCCTGGGCCTTTGAGCTCCCGGCGCCATTTGACAGCAAGTATTCGAGCAATATCTGTGTCATTTCGCTTCAGTGTAAGATTTGAAAAGTCACGAGTGATAAGGAAAGTATGTCTAGTAAAATTGAGAAGGCATTTATTCTTCAATGTATAAAAGTTTACAAGTTTATCTGCATTATGGGATATTAAATCAAAAGATTACCGTAATAGACAAAAAAAGAATGATGCTTATACAATTTTAATTAATAAAAATCAAGAAAAATATTCAAAAGCAACTAAAGAAGATGTCACCAAAAAATTCAATTCATTAAGAACAAATTTCCCAAAGAAGTTAAAACGAATAAACGATGCCAAACGAAATGGAGCTGGTACTGATGATGTGAAAGAGTAAACTTTATGGTATTTTGAAGAAATGCGTTTCCTTCAAGAAATAATGCGAGACTCACATAGCACAATAGATCAATTTAAGGAAATAGAAGAAGATAACTTATAATTAATGTAAGTAATTTATATAACAAAAATTTATTTGTATAAATAAATACAGATTTTTTATCAACAAAATTTATTTTGTGAAGGAATTCTCCTCTTGTTAAAATAATCAAAAATTATTCAAAATTTCTTGGTTATTTACTTGTAGATATATATATAATTATATTTTTAATAAAGCGTTTCTTTTATCTCTGATGTCTTTCTGCGTGTATTATTGCTCTGTAATTCTATTACAATAATATCAATACTTTGAGGTAATATAGCACTAATGAATTTTAGATTTTCAAAAGAATTTTCAATAAAAAAAGTAGTGTAAATAGACAAACGCTGATAGAATGGCATTTTACATGCAAGTCTCAATTTTCTCGATTTAGGTTCAATCATGATCAACGTCTTATCAGATATTGAACTATTTAAACGTAAGAAATTTTAATTATTGTTAAACTTGCTAACTCTTCATTCATTAAATTATGTACATATATTTAAATAATATGAAGGTTAATAATATAAAAAAATCGATATTATTCACAAAAATGTACGATTTATACATTTGTTGTAAAGAAGTATATAATATACAATATTCACTAGCATTTCAATTTCTTACATACATACTGTATACATTTATATCTCTAATCTTTAACACTTATATTATCGAAATAATCATTCATCTGATCTAATGATAATTCATGATAAGTTGAATTATTCACATCATGAATTTCAAATAAAGGAATCGATTGGGTTGCCGCTTTGCCAATGACAATTATGTAAGGATAACCCGATTGACGCGCAAACACTAATCGTTTACCAATCGTGTAATGCGTGCGATCGTCCAATATTGTGTCAATATTACGTTTATAGAATATCTCAAATAGCTGTTCAACATAAGCAGACGTACTTTCTTCTTTGCTTCCAGCCTGTAAATTTCAATGTAGTAAACAAAGAATATTTTTTAATAGATATACAGCAATATTTTTTATTTTACCTACCTTTGGTGGTATAATGCATACTGTATATGGTGCTAACTTTAGAGGCCACCTCATCTCATCATTTGTTGACAAGATTTCGACAACTAATGTAATGATACGACTTAATCCTAGACCGAAACAGCCCATTACCATAGGTGTCGGTTTATTCTGCTCTATAATTGTCGCTTTTAATGGCAGTGAATACTTTGTGTCTAATAAAAATGTATGCCCTACCTGCAATTACCGTTTGTGCAATGTAATATATTTTTATAACGTTCGCATGCTTATATCTTTAATTTACATCAATTAGTTGTTAAATAAAATATAATTTGTTAAAGAAATTTTTACATTACCTCAGCAGCAGTACATGAATGCAATTCATTTTTACATTCTGGACAACTCGTCGTCTTAGAAATACTTTGATTAATAGAGAAATGGCACGATGGACACTGAAGTATCGTGTCTTCACCGATATCAGAAACGTAATGATATTCATGTGACATCAGACCTCCAATTGTTCCCACATCACCTATGCCTTTTAATAATCATCATTAAATAATTCTACAAGGTCGTCCCAAAGTTGGTAACTGTATATCTATAAAATACGTAGATTCTAATATACAATTAGAAATGTTAATTACTTTTTGTATATTTTATACCAATCTGCCTAAAAATATTATTATAAGACTCGCAGACTAAATCATATGTATGTCGTGCGTTGTCCAAGCTAGTATCAAACGTGTATAAGTCCTTCATGATAAATTCTCGACTACGTAGGAAACCAAGTCGTGGTTTCATTTCGTCTCGCCATTTGCTAGAAATTTGATATAACTTCAAGGGTAATAATTTAGTGGAAATCTGGACAGATTGTCCTTCTGACGATACCAAATCACAGATTGCTTCTTCATATGTCTATAACAACATAATATTATTTGAGAAATTTCAGATTAAACAAAAAAATGAATATATTATATTGGTGTAAAAGATTCATCTTATTAGTTAACAGTTTTTAAGTAATTTCTAGAAAATAATTTTTCAGTTTTTCTTCAAAAAAACATAAAATTTTATCTGAAATAGTACTTGATAGAGGAAAATGTATTACAATATATTTCTTACTGGACTCAATATATATTCTTTCTTGTGTCTATCCGTAATTGTAAACAGTTCGGTTATGTTGGAATCATATCTATCAGTTTTCTTCCACAGCGCAGCAGGAGTTAACGCTGGAAGTAATATTTTTTGTGCACCGATATTTGTCATTTCTTTGTCAACAATATCGATTAATTTATTTAAAATTCGTATTCCTAGTGGCAATAGAGCATACATGCCAATGCTAAGTGGTTTAATAATTCCATAATTGATCATTAACTGAAACAAAAAGATTAAAGATAAAGCATTTAAGTTGAAGAAAACCTGTCGTTTAATTCAGGCATTTTTATTTCCATTTGATGACACAAGACAAATAACATTTTGTCTTTGTTAATCATTGAATGCCAAAAAAGATAGAATATTTATATTGACTTGTGTCACTAAATGAAAAATACTCATACAAAAATTAAAGAAATATTTGGAACTAAATATATATGTTAAAAAAAACTTAGTTTTTAATAATAAATTTGTTTAAGAAATTTACATCTATTGTTTTAAGAAATACTGTCTTAACATTATAATTATATATCAAGTAAATGGTTTTTATCAATTAAACAACACTATGAACAAAATATTTACCTAAGTATTATCAAGAAATATTTAATTAATGTTTATAAAGGTATATGTACCTTATGACTTTTAGATGTAATTTCTGTCTTTTCTTCGATATTCAATGATCCCCTCGTTGGTTGAAATATTCTGGACATCCTAGTCAGATTAATAATTTTCGTTTTACTTGCCATTTCTGAAAATGTTTATACAACAACAATACACGTGGATAACCGGCTAATCACATATAACGTTCACGGGTAATTTCCTTTCTAACCCACTGAATACAGCTGCAGAATAATGTAGATTCATATACTCGATCATAGGGCGGCGCTAAACACGCACTATACAATTGTTTTTTTTAAATGTATTGCAGCATCATTCATAAACATCTTACATAAATCACCAACGAGATGTTTAAATTTTAAATCTTAATGAAATTATCATAAATTAAAAGTAAAGAGAACATTATATTTATTTGTTATATTTATTTGTTTTAATTTGCTGTATCAATATCTCTAACATTCGAAACAAGACGAATATTTATTCAGCGGTGCAGCTAGGCTAATATTATTTGCTTTTCTGATGTTTAAATGACATTTATGACAACATTGACGTCAAAATAACGTGCTCGCTACTTGGAAAGAACAAAGTCGATTATGTAACTTGAAATGAGGTGAAAATTACAAAAGTGAGCGAATTTACTAGAATATATTTTTATTGATCAACTCTGTCTATATAATATGAAATGTTTCCCAAATATTTGATTTTCTGGACATATATTTATATTTCAGAAATATTTTATGAAAAATTTCTGAAATATTTCAATGCAAGATTTGAAATATTTCAGAAATTTTTCATAAAATATTTCTGAAATATAAATATATGTCCAGAAAATCAAAGTTTTTAAAATATTCTTTTCTCACAATAATATTTGTACAATATTTCAAAAATATTTTAGTGAAATATTTTAATGCGATATTTTTTAATGTTTTACAAATTAAATGTTTATACGAAATATTTCTGAAATATTTTATTGAAAATTTCAAAAAATGATTCACATAAATATTTCATGCTGTGTAGTAAATTAATTTGCTCATTTTTGTAATTTTTACTTCGTTTCGAGATACACACTCGACTGCAAGACCAATTGAATACGCGGCTATCGCAAACCTGTTTGTAAACACGCCTCAATATCTCCCTCTTCCTCTCGTTTCCCTATCGCGTAGATGACGAGCGTTATCGCATCGCGCGATTGTACGCTAACTTCGCACCGTTTACTCAAGGTTGCGTTCCAAAACTCGACTCTGCCACAATCCAAATATTATTTTATCTTTATTGTTCACCGAATGTCGAACGAGGTTAAAAGGTACTCGGAATTGACAGTCAAGTTTTGGAAACGCGCCTCAGGCAATTCCGTCGTCGCGGTTGCCCGTCGCGCGTATCATTTCAGTCCAGTTCAGTCCGGTCCGGTCAGTCAGTGAGTCGCGAGTCGTGCCACCGGTGGCTGTGAGAACGGTGCAGCGTGTGTGTTTAGAATTTTCGGAGTCGTGCGGATGCGCTCGCCTTCTTCTCCGCCTTCGCTTGCTCTCCCGGCGCCTTCCAGTCGTTGCCGCCGTCATCGTCGCAACACGTATTCATACGAGGACCCGCACGTCACGACAGGCACACGATGTCGAGGGACGAGCCGTTTCACAGTCTTTTCACAGCGACGGACAGTATCGACGGTATCTGGCCCTTCCTGCAAAGCGTGAGTTTCACTCGTCTCTTTCATATCTCTCTCTCTCTCTCTCTCTCTCTCTCTCTTTCTCTTTCTCTTTCTTTCTCGTTTTCCTTTTTATTCATTTCGTTATTCCTCCGCCTTGTTGCGGAGCTTCGCTCGTTGTTTCCAGTACCGCGATGACAGTCCTCGCCAGTCTCATCAAGCTTGTTTTTCTTTCTCTTGTTTCCTCGAGCGGACCTCTGGATCTTGCGTCGACGACGTCAACTGACCGCCTATTAAATCCGAATTTTTTCCATTTTGATCACGGCTGAGAAGACGAGAAACGACTGGAGTCGCGGCTCCAAAAAGCAGCGGCGCAGTATGCCGCGCGTTGATTACATGTATTCTTTGTTTCGCGATAATTTTCGCGTGCCGCTTTGATATTCGATGTCAAAAACATATATATACAAGACGTGCATCCTCTCGAGCCAGTTATGCTCGTTCATATCGTAATCGGGATTACGCACGTGATTCAGGGAAATACGCCGCGGGACGCGACATCAGTCAAAAGCTTTTTACAGTCCTCTTTTTATAGTCCTCAATCAGATTTATCATACTTTTTACAATCCTCTTTTTATTAGTCGGACTTGTTATACTTTTTGTAGGATTCAAATTAATTAAAAATGTATTACAAATAAAAAAAATTAATTAAAAAACTATATACGAGCCAAAGTTAGTTGTTTTGTTAGAATGTATGTTTAACAACTTTAATTTTTTCAGTAGTTTTATAATTTTTAGTTTTTAGTAGTTTTAATAAAGTTTTTAAAAATAGTTTTATAAAATATATAATGGTAATAAGGCTCAATAAATTAAATATAAATAGGTAATAGGGCTACGAGCCAAAGTTAATACATGTGGTCAGATTTAAAGAATAAAAATAAAAATAACATAAACATACAATAACTTTAATCTAAATGCCGGCAATAACAACAAACGTTTCGATCCGCATCGGATCCTTCTCAATGTTAGAATTGAATACAAAAAAATTGTATATAAAATTAAAAATTATAATTCAGAAACTTCCTTCCTGTGAGATGAGAGGGAAGTTTCTGAATTATAATTTTTAATTTTATATACAATTTTTTTGTATTCAATTCTAACATTGAGAAGGATCCGATGCGGATCGAAACGTTTGTTGTTATTGCCGGCATTTAGATTAAAGTTATTGTATGTTTATGTTATTTTTATTTTTATTCTTTAAATCTGACCACATGTATTAACTTTGGCTAGCCCTATTACCTATTTATAAATAGTTTTATAGTTTTTTAGTTTAATAATTTTTATTTAGTAGTTCAATTTTTCATTTATTTAATAGTTTAATGCTTTAGTTCAATGCTTTTAGCATTAAACAATTAGCTTTGGCTCGTACAGCTCTTTAACATTTTTTTTTATTTGTAATACGTTTTTAACTTAATAATTAATTTAAATCTTTTAATTTATTTAGTTTGGTTTGTAATCTATTTAAATTATCATCTTATTGTTAAAAATGTATTATTCGCGGAATTTGGAGGAAGAGGGAAAAGGAGAAAAGATATGGAAGAGGAAAAGTGAGAAAAAGTTAAAGCAGATGTTGCATCTCGCGATTGAAAGATAAGAACAGAAGAACACAGAGAAACACTAGGGAATTAAATGCGGAAAGCGCGAGTAAAAACGAATTTTTTGCAACGTTTTTCGGCTTATAATCCAGAAGAGGAATCGCTGGACGCACCGCAAAAAGAAAAAAACATAGAATTACGCAGCAACGAACGTGAAAATTATACGATTCACTGAAGGTGAAGGCGTATGCATGTTTATACGATTTAGAATGAAAATTTATGTGCGGTCGCACGATTTGTCACAAAAATATGCTCCTTTCCGTTCTGAATTCTTATCATTTCCATTTTAAATTCATTACAAATGCAAATACGTTCTCATTATAAACTTAAATTCATATACAGTTCCATTAATGCGTTTCTGTCAATACAGACTGACTTTAACCTTGTGGTTTAATTTACTTATTATCTCTTTCCAGTTCTAAGAATGAGAACTAGAAAGAAAGCAAAACAAAAACGGCATGTAAGATTAGAAATCAAGCATATAAGGATGCAAGGAAATAAATACACAGAGATAAAAAATAAAGAATTAAGAAAAGGATAAAAAAAATTAACCAAAATTAAAATTAATTTACATCGGCAGAAATGGGAGCATAAATCGTACAAGCTTCGTGTCATTAATGCCCGTTTCTACCGACTTGTACTTCACATCTTTTCCTAAGAATTAGAAAAAGGTGAAGTACAAGTTGAACCGAGATTAAAGTTAATTTACATTGAATAAAACGAACATTGCTTTATCTTTTTCTAATTCCCCGAATTAGAAAAGAAGAGTTAGTTGAACCAAGATTAAAATTAAACTGCATTGGTAGAAACGGGTATCACGCAATACCTACGTATAATATTTGCGTATTATCTACTCTGTATATCCATACGACATCCTCACGTTCCAGATTTCTGCGGCGCGTAATTCACATTCGCCGCTCCGGCAACTTTCGTTTCCGACGCGGCCGGCGGCGCCGGTCGTCTTACATTCGCGTTATGTTACATGTATACATTATTGACACGTCGAGCCTTGAAGATCTAGCCACGAGTCCTTTATCTTATCGCCGGCGTCGCGTGCGCGACGAGACGCGAATTAGACGGGAAGCGAGAATAGAAATTATCAATCGGCTTCTGCCGACACCGCGACTTTTATCATCCTGGACGAAGAGGTGGCGGCAATTATAAATTGCCGATTATATCGGCGCTCTATTTTCGTCATGGACACACTTCGTTCTCAAGGGCGTCCCGTCACTGAGACTCGTGCGGTCCCTCGCGAAAATGCTGCGTAATTTGGTCTCCAGAATCTCTCTGGATATTTTTAAACAGTTATCGCGCGCCGTGCTTTCGAGTGTTTTCTTCAATCCTTTCTTCGCAAGATTACCTTGTGCGAGTAATAAAATCGCTAAAACGATAAGAAAGGGGGGGGGAGCGAGAAACATATGTTGGAATAAGGTACTACAATTTTGAACACGGTGCAATTCTAACAAAGGCAGTTTCACAACTGTTGTCGGAACCTATTTGATTCTCTATGAAATATGTTGTTAAACACGAAAATCTAAGACACGTATTTTTTATACATGCGCTAACTCATGTTTAAGGGGTGAAACACCCCTTTGAAGAAAAAACGGTATTTCTATTTCGAGCCGAATACCGCCGGAAATATAAAAAACGGAAAAAATTTTTTTTAACAAAAGTTATACGGTTTCAAGAGTACTACAATCTTGGGAAGAAAAAAAATTAAATTTTTTTTTCAAAGAGGTTTTCACCTCTTAAACATGAGTTAGCGCACGTATAAAAAAATAGGTGTCTCTTAAATTTTCGTGTTTAACAACATATTTCATGGAGAATCAAATCGGTTTCAGACAGTTGTGAAACTTTCCTTGTAAGTGAATGAAATAAGATTTGAATCTAATTTTTGAGTTTAGTTTTTTCCTGTTTGGTGATACCCTTTTGTACACTTCACACAATGAAATCAGGTTTATCAAGCTTGAACTTCGAAATTGGATTTAAGGCTGGTATTTATAATAATTTTTATTTTAAAACCATCTTAAGAGTAATACTGTGTTTATCTTAAGATACTAATATAGCTCTCTAATTAGTTTATGACATCTTAAGACAGTTTTAAATATAAAAGTCGAGTATGGATATCTTGATTTAAATCTTATTTTGTTCAAAATTATATCATTCGAAATTGTACCATTTTATCCTCCTTTCGCTTTTGCAGCTCCGCTAAACATAGTGAAAGGATATTTTGGGAGATAGGATTATAGTACAGTTTTCCTATTTAAAGATTAGGTTTCGATGTCAGTTTCATTTACTTTGGATTAGCATTGCGTTTAGCAGAAAAAGCAGCTTTGCTGTTGTAAGATTCTTCAACGAGATTGGTTTATATATTTAGATCTATTGAGGAACTATATATATAAATAAGTGCAAGAATCAATTATATTAAAAACTCTTGCTCAGTTATATTAAAGTCTTGCAATTATATTAAAGAACTCTTTAATGTAATAATAATATAGCTCCAAGATTCTTATATATTTCCAAGATTATTTAATATAATTACAATTATGTTAAAGAACTCTAATATAATAATAACACTTGCAAAACTGCTTTTTTGTTAAATGCAACCATTAACGTATTTTGTGTGGATATATTGTTGCAGATCGATTGGAGGGATCCATGGCTAGCTGCACTATTGACTTTTCATATTGCCGTCACAATGACCGCGTTAATGACAAGGAACCATGCGAATTTTCAAATGATCCTGTTTCTCGTGCTCTGTAAGAGTCTACCGTAATTTACCGCGATGTTTGCCTAAGTTACCGCAATGTTACCACAAACTCTGTTTCTGTTTCAGTACTCCTGGTTTATTTCTCAGAAAGTATTAACGAGGTTGCGGCAACAAACTGGATGTACGTATTCAATTGCGATCGTGGCTTGTCAAAGCGATTTTTTTTCTTTCCTCTGGATTTTTCCTTTTAATAATCTCCTTAACAACTTTCACAGGGTATTTTCTAGACAGCAGTACTTCGACTCACAAGGCTGGTTTATATCCATCGTTTTCTCCGTGCCCATTTTAATGAACTGCATGATCATGGTGGTGAGTATATTAACATATATTAGAGATTCGATTTTGAACGAATACGCATTCTAAAAGTTCGACATGTGCATATAACGTTATGACCTTTCAGGCCAGTTGGCTTTATCAATCCAGTCAATTAATGACGAGCCTGAAGCGAGCTCAGTTGCGGCAGCAAGCCAAAAATCGCCAGACGAACGGTGAGGCGACAAATGAAAGAACGGTTGCTCGACCTCGCCAATCGGATGGCGAGGCGACAAATGTGAGAACAACTGCCCGACCTCGCCAGTCAGACGGCGAGGCAACGAACGAGGTAACGGCTGCCCGACTGAAACACGAGTGAAGATCCGAAGATCTAGTCATAACACGCGGCGAAACGAGAGTGCAAGACATACGTGCTATTTAATTTAAGGACAAGAGAGAATCGCTAAGATTATATTTACGTCGACTTACAGCTAGATTTCACAAAGCGCTGTGTATTCTTAGCCATCGTCGACTCGGTAATCGTTCTGAACTCGACCGTGAAACGCCGATTAGCCAGTTTGATATTACACGCGAAAACTTGCGCAACAGAAAAGGGAGGGGGAAAATACATAGAACAATACATCGGTGCAATCAGAACGATAATGCACGTCGGAGTTGCCTAGTCAAAGTCTCCGTTAGAACATACCTCCCGACATCGTGCCGTATTACACACAACGATTTTATGGAATTAAACCATTTGATGCGCGAAACGCAACTGGATTGATGACAGATAATCGGCCGTGCTACGAACAATAACTACGCAGAAGGAGCACGGCAATGTGGCAAGCCACGTGTTTGTTCTTGTCTTATCATTTAAAGCCGACTTCGATCAAACAGTAATCATAGCTATTATTTTTTAGCAACTATAATTAGTTGTTAAAAAATGATAAGAAATTATATTATTACTTATAATCAGCAACTAATTGCCTATCAGAAAAATGTCCAACTGTTATTATGCAATTAGCGTAGCGTCTGTGATCTTTAATTTTTCTTTCTACGTGCAGCGGAAATGAAAAAAAAATTAATGATTTTGCTTATGCTAATGCTAAATTGCAGATATTATATAATATATTCGTCATAATACCATCGGAGGCAATTGATCGGAGATTGATCGAGGTCGCCCATAAAGAACATTCCACTAGTTTATTCACATTGTTTTGATATTTAGACACTGATCGTGAAAATCAAAGTGTTCTTAATATGTGTAATTAACGTACTTATTACATAAAATAGCGCAAGCACGTCACTTTTATTGTAATAGATCCGCTGTAAAGAGACATAACGCATTAATTAAGAACCCAGATAACACAATAACAAATGCGTGAGTGTGTGTGTGTGTGTGTGTGTGTGTGTATGTATGCAGGAGGGAATTTTGCGTGAATTTTGCAAGTGCAGGTAACAGCCTTCCACGAGTCGTGCTTCACGATTTTGACGAAGGAACATAGGACGTACCAAGGTATGGCGTGTTGTGTTGTTTTTAATTGTATATTGTATATTGATGTAAATCAAAGCGCATTACTTTGCCGCCTTTATATTTAATATAACGTTTAATATAGCGTTTAATCGTTTTAAGGTAATAAAAGAGTATTTGTTCATATAAGTCTCGCGTTTTGCTCTTCTGTCGCATTCTTCGTTCGTCCTCCTTTCGTAACGCTGACTCGGCAAATTGCAAATCTTATTAAATGTACTTGAACGCATACGGATTCGTTTTTATATGTTTTCCTACGTAAGTATCATTACAGATGACTCATGCAAACGCTATGCGAAGTACTATTGGCACGCTTAAGACAATAAATCTGAGATAATCATGATAATAACTTTCAGTTATAATTATGTTTTACAAATATCCCGATCATTTTTTTTAAACCCATTTTACGATTTGAGGATCGAAGTCTGATGTGTTTCTAACTTTTTATACAGTGTATTTAATGTACAAGAGTCCATTTTAACGTATATTTTATATATTATTTAATTTATAGATAAAAAAACTAGTTAATTCTTAAGTATATTGTAATAAATTAGTTTATTTTTAAAGATTCAATAAACGTTGCTCGTGTTTTTTGACCTTTCTAATTACTAATGTTTGCTTAGCAATCTCGAGCTAGATATTTTATATATTTTAATTTTATTTAAGTATTCTGACTTCGATTCTTTTTCGTATTACGCCGCAAATAAATAAAATAATCTTCTGACATTCTGAATTATAAATCGTATAAAATTACTATTTAGCCTATATATATAAATATTCTAAAATCGTCCTCTCCGAGGAAAATTTTACAATACGATATAATATAATATCGACATAATACAGTATACGTTACATGTACATTATATATATCAAACAAAATTTTTTTGGTGAGGACGTTTTGGAATGTAAATAATCCTAAATAATATTGAACGCTCGAGAAACCAAAACTGTATTATCCATCGAAAAAATTCGCAAATGTGGCTATGTAGTTCACTCCTCAAATCCTAGAGGGCTTAGATTTAAAAGATGGCTTGCGCTCAGTTTCTTTTCGATAACAGCATGTATCTGTTGAATGACAAATTATAATATTTTTCTTTAGCAAAAGTGTGTGATATTCAACAATTCGATGGTATTTAATTTAAATTACTTCACGCTGATACGGTGACAGAACTGACAGGTATCGAACATGTTTCAACGTTGTTGCTCACTCGTGTCGACGGCACGGCCGGTCGCGATAAACTTAATTAGATTTGTCTCAAAAAGCGGCGGGCCGAGACAATGCGTGTCGAAGGAGCTCGAAAGAGATGTCGAGAGAGCCTCCTCTAAATCGAGTGTCTTGTCAGAACCACCAAAGATCGAGGATGAAAGTCACGTTCTGGAACTGCGACCTAACCTAAATAATAATACAAACATAGCTTCGTTTGCTCGTGAGGACTATTTAGATGATGCTGACATAAACTTGCCGCATCCCCTGGACGAGTGCAGCGAAGACCTGTCAGACATTGGTTCACCTCTTACTCCGACCTTCAGCTTCGCTAAATATGCGAACAAGTCCCGCACGATCCAGAAGCTGACAGACCTCGGAGTCAGTTTGTACAAGTTCGAGGAAAAAGAAGGGATGGTCGAGTATATCCTGAACCTCGACTTCGATCGAGATATAAAACCATACATAAGGTTCCTGCATGACTGCAGAGTACCTGCCGATTACTTAGGCACATTTATTACGAAGAATCCAAACATCTTCAAGGAGGACATAGACGATCTACACACGAGAATAAGATACTTGAGGGCGCACAAGTTCAGCGTGTCAATGATAAAGACGATAATCTGCAAGAATCCCAAGTGGCTCTTGTTCAGTACAAAGGATATAGACGGTAGACTCGGCTACTTCCAAAGCAACTTCAAGCTCATAGGCAACGAAGTCAGAACTCTAACAGTCAAAGGACCCAAGGTAGTAACGTACAGGATGATACATCTAATGGAAAACACATTTAGTATAAAGGAAGAGATGGGTTTCGATCAGATGCAAGTGAAGAAATTGCTTCTCACACTGCCTAGATTATGGAGCAAGAGTAAGCGCATGCAGCAACATGATTTTAGAATTTATGAATTGACCTGATTTCTTAAATTGTGCTTTCAGATCGTGACAGATTGCTAAATACGTTCGATTATGCTCACAGCGAAATGCAGCTGCAACATGATTTTATTACGCAGATGCCACAAATTTTACTTTGTCGAAAAACTAGACTCCAACAGAGACATTTGTTTCTGGTGGAAATGAAAAAGGCACAGTATGATCCTTCTAAACCAATGTATGTTTCACCACTAGCCTTAATCAGTGGTACAGACGTCAACTTCTGTAGAGATATCGCAAAGACGTCTATTGATATTTACAATGCGTTTCTCAAAACGTTTTAATTATAATATAAATGTAAATAAATGTTAATAGATACTTTTTGTTTTTAAATTATTTCTGGAAGTGATATTCCATGAGAATTCAATAGGCTTTTGTATATTTTGTTAGTTTTTATGTACATCACATATAAATAAGTTTTTACATCGTTAAAACTAAAAAATTATCGTCTTTAAATAAAAAGGAGTAAAATATATGCCATTATATTAATAAGTTATGTATAATTTCTTTTTTATATCGTATGAAAAAGATACTTTGTAAATATTTCCAATTGCTCTTATAACTAAGTATCGTACAATATGACCACGGTTTTGTTATTGCGCCTGGCTTAGCAGGAGACACTACTGTGTCTCCTGATTCGAGATACTTTTAATATAAACGAAATGAGAATAATTACATTGAATAAAAATGGTGCAACGAAAATGCACCATTGTCTAGAAAATTCAATCTTCAATAGAAAATCGAGATTTTTAATAATACTTCTTTTTAATTAATCCTACACTGTTAAAAATGTATCCATTACATGTAATGGAAGCAAATTTCTTTTTTTTTTTAACAGTGTAGTTAATCTGATTATCCGTCTAAGGCCGTGTCGCATCAACGATTAATACTAATTCCAATCCATTTTCAGCGACTAATCTCACTTATTTGGAGACGATGCTCACATTCCGAAATTATTTGAACACGATTATATTGATGAAAGAAGAACAAAATTAGGATCGGAACAGGATAATCAATGCTGCTGCATTCGGACCCAAAGTGTTTAATTGTACTTCCCTAACTCTATCTTCCTTTGTATCGCACGCACCGAATGATAGAGCAGCGAATCGATTAGACCGGCCACAGTGAACACACCGCCAATGATCGCGCAAGTGTTCGTCGCGAAGTGCCCGAATGAGTTCGCCTTCTCCGTATACTTTACCATGAGCGGGCTCAACTCGTAGTTGAAGAATACACCCGGCATCCCAGATTCGCCAGTAAGCAGGGATATCTTTTTCGAGTGTCGCGTTACGGAAAACTGATTTGTGAGGAGGGTTGAGCCATCCGCGCGGACGTACGTTGTCGGGACAATCTTGATGTAATGATAAAACATCATAGCGGCTGAAAACAGAACAATAGCGTCGTATATTGACGAAAAAAACTCGGATTAGGACGGATTTTTTCAATATGCAATTATGTATGTATATGTATGGATAAATTACGAGAACGGATTTGTAAGAGAACTTGTTCGTGGATTTAAATCCCCAATTTTCGAGAAAGAAGCAATTTAAAAAGTTTCTTAATTTGTTAAAAAGTAAAAGCGTTCTGATTTATATATTATCCTTTAAAGGGGTAAGTAAGATTATATTCTATAAATAATACAAGTACATTTCTTAATTTTTCTCTGAGAAAATTTTATATTTTGCTAAGTTAGTGCTCCAAAATTTATAATTCTGAACATACTTGATATGTATCGAGTTGATATGTATGTTCATGTCTTTCTTTTTCTATTCCTATTAAAAAAAAAAGAGGTAGGTGGGAATGCACACACTTTAAGAGGATACTCGGAAATTACAATTCTTAGCATTAATAATTAGTTCTTATATTTAAGACCGTTTTAAATACAATCTCAAAATCGTCATAAGTTATAAGTCAATCATATCATTTTAAGACCATTTTAAGTAATTCTTAAGATATTTCTTAAGATGCTAATACAGCTCTGACTGGTTTACAACATCTTAAAACTGTACTTAAGACAGTCTTAAATATAAGAATCAACTATGAATATCGACCAGAGCCGCGTATTAACATCTCAAGGCATTACTTAAGACGAGCTTAAAATAAGAATGAATATCGACTTAAGTTTTTTCAAAAACAAAATTTGTATACGTATTTCACTGATATATAATTGAAATTTCCCGCCACGGATGACGGTACAGACAAAACGGAAATAGCAGACGGCGCAACCGTCTTTTCGCTCACGTTGCGAAACCATCATGGCGCCTTTCCCGATATTGTAATACGACTGCAATGCGTTGAGAAATTCCGGCAATTGCACAAAAATTACGATCAAGCTCAAAATTGAAAAGTAAGAATAATATCACTTCCGATCGATTGCGCATCGACCACAAGATTACGTAACAAGACATTTTAACAGTAAGTGTGCATAATCAACCTCGTATGTCAATATAAACTCCATAAAAACATTTAATTCTATTCAAAATTTGGAGAATTTTTTTATTTACCACAAATGAAAAATTCACAAAGCTGTTCAAGAAAAGCGAATTCAATTTATTAAGTTCTCTCTTCATTTTAGAGACATTGTTAAGATCAACTCTGGTGAAAATTTTTCTCAGAATTTTTCATATATGTTGCTTATGAAATATCGTAAGATTTCTAAAAGTTTTTGTAAGTATAATTTCTGATGAAAATGTTATAAAATCTAAAAAATTAAAAAATATTTTTTTTTTAAATTATATAGGATGAGAAATTTCAGAATATTTCAGAATTCATTTGTATGAAAAATTCTGAGAGATGTAAACTTTCCGAATATTTCTGAGTATTTCTGAAAAATGTTCCAATTATGAGAAATATTTTTACCAGGGAAAAACTATAAAAGAAGATAGTTTATAGAAAATGAAACAAATACTGGCATTATAACTGTTTCGCAGACTGCATGATGCCGGTGGTACCTGGAGGGGCCTATCAACAAGGACCGACTTGTTTCGATAGAATGAAATTAGGTTTTACAATTGGATTTTGCGTAGGAATGGCTTCTGGTGCGCTCTTTGGAGGATTTTCTGCTCTTAGGTATTTAAAACGCATGTATAAAAAACCGATACAAAAAAACATACGCATTAGAAAATTTGAATATAATAATGAAACTTTTTTCAGATACGGATTGAGGGGAAGAGAATTGTTAAACAGCGTCGGCAAGGTAATGCTTCAAGGTGGTGGCACATTCGGCACATTCATGGCTATCGGAACAGGGATACGATGCTAGTACATGAGTCAGCGTGGACGGAGATATGTTATTGAGTATTTCGCAGCCTATCTTTTTCGTTGCACTGTTTGTATTGTAAGAGCGAGTCATTAAGTCTATAATAAAAATAGAATTAAGGATCAAGGACATACCATCCATGTCGACCACCGTCATGCCATCCATAGGATTTGTTTTCCCTGGGATGTTAAGCCCAAAACTTAAATGTCTAATCTTGTGCGTCATATTGAAATGGGATGAAGTGTAAGGCTGAACGTCGTGCACTGTGGCATCAAAGAACGAGCTCGTAAGAGCATGGCACTGGAAATGTTATTTTTAAAAACTTGAGTTTTATTAGAGCTCACCATGAACGTGATTGACTGAGAAACTGGCGCCTGGCGCAATGTGAAAACTACCACCGACTCTATTCACTTCCATATAACCGTAGATTTGACAGCCTTGCGTGAAGGCATGCTTGAGTTTATCCATGGATTTATCATTCTGACACTGTTTAACCTCAGCCGGATCCGGTGGAGCCCACTTTTTTCGTCTATAGGCCTCCCATACATCCTCGCAGGTATTGCAACATCTGTAAAGAAATGAAATTTTATGAAATGTGGATTTAATAGATTTCATCTTCTTAATAGAAAAAGAAAAGATACTCTAAAATATTTAGAGTGAATCTCAGTCTTTAGAGTGAGATTAAAAAAAATTTAGAGAACTGTGAAAATAGTGGAAGTTGAACTAAAAAGAACAGCCCTGATGACTAATCTATAATGTACTGTTTGCTTTTTTGTTTCTTTTTATTATTTTACCTCTTATGCCTTTTTTCCTTTTTACGACTATTTTATCGATAATCATGTTTTTTGTCTCTTCTGACTTTCATCAACTTTGTTTCTGGCGATAAAATCGAAGAAACAGGATAAGAAGCAAAAAGATAAGAGATAAAAATGGAGAGAATAGGAAACAAAGAGCATTATAGATTAACCTTATGAATAAGATCTACTGCAAGTAGGATACTAATACGATTATACTTCATAGTGTCTTAATACAAATGGGATCTTACTTCATAGTGTCTGTGGCTGCTCCATAGCAGTCTCCACAGAGCTCTGTAGTAGAACCGATCTCCACTGCCTGTAAAAATGTCCAATAATAACTAATTTCCAAATGGACATTAGTCAGAAGATACCTATAGAAATTTTGCGTTACCTTCTCTGTAGTTTTACTGATGGCCTTTGCATCTGTAATATCTACAATAAAACATTTTTTTACATGGCACTTTTACCTGGTGTTGCATATATTAAGAATATTATGCTTACTTGTCCTTTGTGGATCTTCTATGGGTTTACCGTTCAGGTCTAACCGTCTCTTAAAAATATTGTGCTCTATGTGCAAATGCTGTTCGCCCGTTGTATCCATGGCGTCTAACGATAAAACTGCAAAACACTGAAATGACTGAGACTGATATCATTCTTCGCCTATGTACCGGTGCAATTTATACTTACGATCACAAGATATAGCGGGGATTATTATATCCAAGTTGATTCTCAGTTTAGAACCCCTGGATGTATCTACAAATAATTCCTCGCTCATAGTTGGTGTAAGATAATAGTTTACCTCTGACAAAAACAGGATGCCCATGATGATTGTACTAATGATTGTAACTGAAAAGGCATTATTCCATCATTTGCATTGGTGTAACATGAAGTCGATTCTTACCAAACATAAGATACGTCAAACTGCTTTATTTACTACCGGCCAAGTGTAAACAAATAATTGTTATTAACAAACATCAAGAAACACATGGAGAAACAAAACAAATACAATTATGAGCATTTATACGAATATTACAGGATGCGAATTAAAATGTTGGATGATCCGGATAAAATATTTTAATGGAATATATTGTAACTTAAAATATTTCAGTCAAGAGTATTTTAATGAGATGTCAACAGAGAGCGGAAAAATTCTAGGAGGTTAATCGCTCGCCGGTATCGTTTCGCCTCGCACCAAGCAACACTATTTGGCGCAGCGGAACGTAAACGACACATTCGGTCCTCGTGGCGATTCTCCAGGTTTCATTTTCGCCGGCGACGGACGATTATCGCCGTTGTTCGGTATCGCGACAGAGTACACTGTGTTTACCAATAGCACCGCTGAAAGTCCTCACGAGGATATCTGCCTCCTCGCGCACCTTCGGGTGCACGTCCAGTTGCCGCAGCATCTGCATCTTCCCGACGACGGCGAGGGGACGGTACGCGGCGATTGCTCACAGCGGCCCGAGGGTTTTCTCGCACGACACGTACGTGTCATGAGTTTATGACAAGCCACTCTGCCACCTTGAAACGTGGCAGATAATACGCTGCCATTGGCCGATCAGCCGGTAGGCTCCGTTTGCTCCGTTTTCGCACGTATCTGCTGCACTTACAAAGAAGACGGATAAATATTCGAGCATCGGACGGAGAGAGAAGAACGAGGGATCTGAACATAAACGGTGTAAATAAAAGGAACCGGACTTATAATTTTGAGCCCGCCTTTCGCACCGAGGAAAAAGTCTTTCTCCATTTATTTAATTTATTTATACGATAACATTGATAACATTTGATAATGTCGTTTTTTATTTTCGTCACGAGCAGTTCGTTATTCCTATAATATCAATCATGGTGAAAATTAATAACGTTAATATATTTTTAAAAGATTAGGCTTCATAAACAAAAGACCGAAGGAACATTTTTAATTATTTTTATGAAATAAAAACGTGCTTTCTATATATTCCTTTAAACATAATAAATAAGATGTGTGTTTATATGAGAGAGATTAATTCCTTTGAGACTTTTATTTTCATTCATTTAATAATAACAAATAATAAAAATAAAACGTTATAGATGTTATTTATATAACAGTATTTATGATGCATAAATCTATTTACATAAGTTTATAAAGAACGTTCTTTGCATATTCTTTAAAATAAATATAAGATATTATTTATAAAAGAAATTAATTCCCCTGAGTTTTATTTTTATCAGTTTTAACTTTTACATGTATGAGAAAAATCTGATACAGATTTGTATTAAGAAAGAGAAAAAGAAAATATAATACACATGTATAAAAATGCTTGTTTTACCTAATTACAAATTTTCAATCTATAATGATGATAAAAAATTTATTAAATCCTTATATCTATTGTAACATTTTCAGTTTGATAAAGTCCTTTCGCCGAGCCCTGAAAAAGGAGCAAGGACAGGAATACTGAAATAATAATTCATTCGTTGCACAATTCTAATCCGTAACAAATGCTCGATAAACTTTATTCCACATCGTGCATCACGTTGCTCTTCAGGACAGGTGTCTCGATTTAATATACATATATATTTATAGTTGTATTCTGTGTACAAAGCGACTCTTTTAATCTACAAGTATTTTTTTTTCTGAAGATGCATATTGTGAATTAAAAAATTCGAATGTGTATACGTGTGGATGTATATGCGTGAATATGCGACTGTCCGTCGGAGACGTTAGAAAAAAGGCAATGTTAGTTTTATCCATCATGACACCCAAGATGAGTCTGTCAAGTCGACATAGTAGATCTTCGCATTAAATCAATTGTAGGACAATATTCATAGTCGGACCTCAGGACCGTCTTAAATACGTCACACTCTTAAGATATGTCCATGAACCAATCAGATAGCCGTATTAGCATCTTAAGACGATCTTAAAATAAGAACCGAATATGAATACCGCCTGTAATCTTCGCGTTATTAAGGCACTCAATGCCAGGAATATTACTTTAGCGTGCACGAACAGCAAAATGAAACACGAAACAGAATTAACGAGAAAGGTGTATAGCGGAGTCGAATAAGTATAAATGATCGTGTATATATATATACGCAGTTATCGTTAATTAAATTAAAAATACACTAAAATTAACTGGACGGCGGTCTAACACATCAATCGACCCGAATTGCTTCTACAGTCGTTGTCGAGATTGGCAGTAAAAATGCAGCGTGCGATATGATTTTTAATTATAAAAAAGTACTCATTTTCCATTTTTGAGTATAACCAGTCTCACATATCATTATCGTTATGTCGATCTATCAAGGACAAATGATTGAGAAGATTTGCGGTTCTCTGTAAGTCTATACATTATGATTTAATGTATAATGTGTGAAACAAGGATTTTTAATGAGATTCCGTATGCAAAACGGGTCGTTTGTAAATCTATAACAAACTAACGTAAACGCTGTATTTAATTATGATAAACGATAATAATGAGATTCTTGGCCGCGCTTTTTACGCGACAACGTCGATATCGCTTCACGCGGCGTGAGATATTCGTAGCATTCTTTGTACTCTGATTACACGTGCCTTGCGTTTTCCTAGCCGCGCGACAAATGGAGCCTGATTCTGAATATCACTTCTCGTAATGTAATCTTGCAGTTTTCGTACGTGATGTGGGCAGTAATAAACAAATTTTTCTTTTATTCGCGCTAAAATTTCTAGCAGCCCTTGACTCTCGAGTCTTTCGATGTCGAACACTGAATTCAGAATTTAATTAGTAGATCCAATTGACCGGCACCCACTGATGCTCCGTGGCTAAGGCATCCAAAGCTGCGATCACCTGCCTGAATGTATTGTCAAAGTCTTCATTTACAATCACCTGGTCGATGTACTTTTCATAGGCTCTCTGCAGGGCCGCGGATTCCTCCAACGTGGATTTTAAATCGTCCTCCTATCAAATGGATCATCAATCAATTTCTCAAGTTTTCAATGCCTTATTATATAAAATATTTTTTTTCTAATTGATTCATGATAAAAGCGTGTATAAGATGCATTTTAGACGAGATCACAAACGTAGCTTGGTTTTCTTAATTCCGGTAATAAAAATGGTTTAAAGAGTTATTTGATTACATTTATGTAAGGACGCGAACTTGTCAAGAGAAAGATGATATTTTTATGGATTCCGTGATTAAGCATTGAAAAACTCTATTCTATGAATCAAAATAAAGGAATATCGTGCGAAAGAGAGATACTAAAATACATAACTAAATCGGTAACTATTAACAATTTTGACATTCCAGATTGCTGTACATACATGCTACATAATAACATAATAAAACAATACGAATCATGCGATACAAACCTCGTATAAAGATGCAAGAGACTCCAGTGTCCTGGCTCTTCTCGAGCTGTACCTGATGGAACTCTGGCGGTCGAACTAGCAAAGCCAACATCAAATTTATACAACAATTAACTAAAGTGATGGAATAAAAATAAAATAAACAATGAAATAAATAAGTTATCGCATATAGATTGCTAGCATCGCATGAAATCGATTACAATTTTTATGAAAATATAGGTGCAAACTTTGGATAAGAATACCGTTAGATTTCGATTGCTGGCACCAGTCGATCTCCCGAGATCGTATAAAGACTTCAGCTGCTCCATTCCGGGCGCAGCGATGAATATGACATAAGGCATAAACTCGGTGCTATTATGAAGGATTTTGAGTGCAGCCGGACTACAGTCTAGCACACACATCTTGCCGGCTCTGATCAGTTCCCGCACAGAGTCCAGTTTCGTGCCATATAAATGTCCACCGTGTTCACCGTGTTCCAGGAACCTGTGTTCCTTGATATCGATCTCCATGGACTCGCGATCGGTAAACCAGTAACTCTTGCCGTCCTCTTCGAGAACTCTAGGCGGTCTCGATGTGTCTGTGAAGAGATTACATTCGCTCAGTACGATAATCAAGCAACCAGTATCGATTGATGAAACATGAATTAATTAAATATTTCTTACAGGGTACGATAGTGCCGAACTTTTCGGGATCGCTGTTGATCAACCTATTCTTCAGGGTCCGACGACCTACGCCGCGTGGCCCGACCAGAGCCAAAGTTTTGCGTCGAAACGGCGGCATCCGAGCGACTTCCTCGTAAAGAAGCAACTCGGCACTGTCAAACTCGCCGTTCGATTTGGATTGATACATCTTTCTCTTCTTCTTCTTAGATATCCTAGTACCGCAGATGCTGATTTTATGAACGAAATCGGCTTCGGGCGGTACAAACGCTTTTCTGCGCTCTTCCAGCTCCAACGAGGGTATCAATCCGGGCGATCCAAGATTCTCGCCCTCCACTCTTCGCGCCTGCCACCAATTCGGATCAGCCTGGTCAACAATTTGAAGGATGTCGCCCTTCTGGAAAGGTAGACCGATTTCCCGGCAGGGCAGAAGCGTGTCCTCCGATGGATCGTAATCGAAGAGGGCCCTCATGTAACACTGCAATAACAAATCAAATTAAAGCGGCAGCTCGACGAGATTATTATGAATTTTCATTGCTCTGTGATTACGACGCCAACGTCGTGTTCTTCGCGCTTGAATGAACACCGTAAGGAAGGAGAATGAGAACACAGTTGTTACCAGAGGCATCGAGATGGAAAAACAGCTTGTAGCACTCACCGTGGACTTGAGAGGTTGATTCGTTTCCGAAGCGATGCCTGGAGCCAGTTTCAAGGATAGATTCTCCTTGGCGTCCTGAATCGCCTGTTGAAGTTCTTCAGGGTTTCGAACTCTCTTACTGTTGACCTCGAGTATTACCTCGCCGGTCTTCAGAAGTTCTTGACGAGCTGCTGTGCTACCACCAAGAATCCTAGCGATGATCATATTTCCAGCTTCATCCACTTGCACCGTCAGACCCTGGAAAAATACGGACATGAAAATAATGTCTCGTTCTTATCTAATTACGTCGAATTAAAGCGTATTTCACATGCGACATTGGAGTCTTGCTCATATAACGGTCAATAAAGCCTTAAGTGCAACGCTGAAAATTGCTAGCCATATTTCGATGCTTTTGAATATCTTAAAGAAGCGCGCAGTATCAGAAAATCGGTGAAACACATGGCATGTCAGAGAAATAAACGTTCGTACTTATTTACAACATATCTTCGTCTTTTCTTCAGGCGAATCTGGCGGGTTAATTCGCGAAGGGGGAGCTTCTCTCGCGGTAAACTTTTCCAATCTCGCTTTAGATTCTAAACTTAGTTTCTACATGTCACAGTATCAAATAATTTTTAATAACTACAGTAATTGTTTTTTAAGTTGAACGGAAAGAAGAGAAAAGAATCTTCGAACGGACTAATCGAAATTGGAATGAACTATTTTTAATGAACTATTTTTTCTTCAATATAATATTATACAATTTTTGTTTATTTTCCCGCAGAGTTATTTCTACATTGTTTACCGTAGGAACTTACCAGGGGTTCATCCGGTTGCCTCCGAAGGCCGACGACCCTGATAGGCATTACCTCCTTCTTATTCGTCGGCATCGTTAACGCGAGCGGATCAGACGGTTTGGAAGGCGCTTCCCTACGTTCTACGACCGCGTCGTGTGTCTCTAGGAGCGCCCTTAGGTGTACGTTACCGAGAAGATTCACTAGCTCTTTAACGTGAGAATCCCTGGAAGCTTGGAAGGCGTGGCACACTTCGTCGACGATGTCACAGACGGATGAGCATACCGGCTCTACAGGCACCGGCGGGTCCTCGAGACGCTCCTGCACCTGGCACGCAAACAAAGACAGAAGGTTTCAAATCTGGACCTGAAAAACTGGTTTTTCTCACGAGGCTTAGAAATGTTACTCCTCCACAACTCGTATCCTCCCTCACGTTGACGCGTTGTTGATATTTTCACGTCGCAACAATGTTTCTTTTCGGATCATGTTACATCGATTAAAACGTTCCTAACTTCTTTCCTTTTTTTTTTTTAAACATTTCTTAAATCTTTATTTCGCATTGTCTGTAGATTCGCAATTATTTGTTTTGTTTCATATTCTTTAATTCACAAAAAAACATGGAAAGAATGATTTTGCTCAAGTATCTAAAAATTTAGCTAGATTTAAAAATAATTTTGTTAAATTATCAAAATAATTACATAGGAATCTATTGCATAATGAGCAATGCTGTAAAAAAATTTTGATATTCTAGCATCCAGTTTGAGTGTCCTATCATATAATTATTTTGATGGTCAAATAAAATTTTCAAATCTGTGTGTGTTTCTAGTTAAATTTTTAAATACTTTAACAAAACCGTTCTTTTCGTAAAAATGTAATAATAATTTATTTAGTAACTTTTATTGTCGCTCGAAATTAGAACAAGTTTCCGCGTTAAATTCATGCGGTCTACGTTTTTGTTTCAGTCAGAAAGAGAAGTAAATAAAGAAATTACGTTGAATCAACAGATTTCTTCGAGTACAGTTTATAATTTTCGTTTGAGAAGGGAAATATTTCTTGAAACGTGCAGTTGAGAATGATAGAAAGTCTGTATAAGAAATTACAGGCTGTATAAGAAATGATGGGATACATGGGAAAAAATCCGGCTGCTAACGCGTTGTTAATGATCACTGACATGCAATGATGCGAATGCTAACGGAGTTCAATCGGATTAGAGTTAATTTAATCGACACGAAAGACATTTAGCCCCACCCTACCCAGAGTGGAGTTCAGAGTTTACAATGAACGAGTAATTGGGAAAGTAGGCCATTGCGACTCATTCGGCGACGCGTTTGAAATGGCGCATTTCCCAATATCTCAGACAATCTTCATAAACTGACTCTCTTACGTCTTGAATGCATTGTTTTTTTTAAACATAACGAGAGATTTTTAAGAGAAATTTACAACATATAAAAATTAAAGTTCACAACCCTTTCAAAAATTACTAAAATTAATTAACTATATTCTCTAAAATTTTTAGAGTGACTCTCATTCTGAAGAGTGAAATCTCATGGGCTTTCTACAATAAGCCATTATTAAGTTTTAAGTCTTAAGCCGTAAGGAATTAATCAATCACACTCGAATGTGAGAAGAATGATTATTGATCAATTTCTTACGTGTTAAACCTTAGGAAATGGAATTGTAGAAAGCTCATCACTCTTAAAGATTAAAAATTAAATCACTCTTTTTCAAGACTGGTGAAATTTTCACTCTTTAGAGATTACACTTCAAAGAATTTAGAAAGTAACGAAACCAGTGAAGAAATCAAGATCCATACAAAGGATATAGTGCTAATGACGATGACGATGTTATAAAAATAAACAGAAAACGTTCGACGTAAATCCACAAATAATCTTTTTTCGATTACTCTGCGATTATTATGGTGCACAATACAATGACGCATAAATGTAGATTGTTGTCGTAAGTCGATGATTCATCACTAAATTATTTTCTCTCGAGAATCGTGCAACGATCATTACACACGCGCGCTTTACCGGTCAAACGAGAGTTTCCTCATCGTACGTGCTCTCGCGAGGCGCATTGCGGAATCGGCGCATTGTGAATTTCTCCCAATGATTAACGATCTACGAGGAACGGCGACTTTCCTCCGGAAATTTTTCAACGTCAAGCTTCCTGTTTGTTCGACTTGTTTGCTTAACGCGCGCGCCCACGTGCTCGCGAAGTTCAAACGCGAAAATCTGTAAATCGACGTCCATCGTGCAAGATTTATCGACGCACTTCGTCGCGGGTCATCAAGTCCCGCCGCGGTCGTTTTCTCGTTCCGTTTACTTCGAACGGACTCCCCGTGCGCCGAGTGTTGTATCTGATTGCGTCAGGAGGGACGCGAGATTTACCGGAGGCTGCGTCCAAGGCGCGCCGCACGTCGTACTTGCGTTTATGGACTATAAAGCCGCGGCATTTATTTATCCGCTCCGCTGCAGAGATCCTTTGCGAGACGAATCGCTCAGAACTCGTTTCTTTTCTCAAAGAGAACAGAGCGTTCAAGAGATCTGCGAATAATCTCTGCAAAAAAACCTTGCACCTCGCTACGCGAATCGCGGCAAGAAAGATCAGCGAAGTTATGGTAAGGTGAGCGAATCCTCTCGTTTCTCTTCAGAATATCAGGCGAGTCGATTCGTTCTCTATATTCGTCGAATGCAGCCTTACATTTTCTCCGGTACCTTTCTATCGGGTTTATCTCGGTTCACTAGTGACTGCGGGTAGAGCCATATGGTCCAACCGACTGTCTTTTGATCCGTCATTATCGCACACCTGAACGCTACCCCAATCGCGTCACTAAGGTACTTTCATGTTTTTCAGTTGCACCTCTTCGCAAATGACTGAAATGAGTATGTTCCACTCATGGAAGTTGAGCAACGCGAGATTGAAGATGATCTTCTGTTCACTTAGGCAGACACCTTTCTCGCCAACTGTACGCTTCCTCGAGAAACGACGTCTCACCTGAAAAAAGAGTCGCGACGCAGTGCTCCGTGCGAACTGGTGAAGCTAAGCGGCTTTAACTGGTCGTGGTCGGTGCCCTCGCAGTCGTATCGATCGGTGAGGGAGAGCTCGGTTCTCGAACGGAGGGAAACCAAATCTGTCGCACGGGGTGGCAAAAGCGACCACGCAGGATGCTGATGAGGATGATGCTCGGATTCGTCACGTCGCGCGACACTCTCGTACAAGCAGTAAGTCAGAAAACTCTGCCGCGCCTACTGACGTCGTCTGACCTCCCTCCGCGTAGGCAGCCCGTTCAGGCGAGTCGCCTGCCGTTTCTGAAACAGGTGGGGGCCCTTCCTTCTCCTGGCATGCAACACTCCGCTACGTTCGCTTCAGGAGCGTAGCTTGTTCGTCCAGGTACCACTGTTTCAAGGTCGTCGCAAAACGGAGCGGAATCATGTGTCTCTGGTTTCAAGCATCGCTTCTTTCGGAGATTTTCACAGTTTAAAGTCAACATATTCCTCGTTGACTTTATTATTTATCGCGATTTCCTCGTTTCCACCTGAGCTCGCAAATTACGAACCCATCAAAGCTAGGTCTACTTCAAATGGAGAATATGACATCAGCAAACGCAATCGTGTGTTAGTTCATTGACACAGTTTCATAATCCAGACTTTCGAAGCTGATACAAAGTCAAACTCTTTCAGTGGACGCGGGAACGTTTTGGAATTGAGAAATGCATTGTAAGGGCCATGGTACACAAAAAAATTTAAGCAGTAAAACGTAAGTAAGGAAATCAACATGTTGGATTTGCTACTGCTTACGTCATGACCTTACGGTCTCTATTGTGACTGGCCAATACTGCTTATGTTTTACTGCTTAAATTTTTTGTGTACCATGATCCTAAAACGAATGGTTTTCATTAACATGAAGAAATATGAATATGAAATGTCCATCTACTGTTTTTCATTTAGGAAACACTGTTGACACAAGTGAGAGGCTTGTCATTGTCACGTTTATTAGAGATCCTACATATATAATAAGAGTTTGGTCAAAACAGATAAAAAATGACGGATAGATAAGCTATTTATCTCTTTTTTCTTACCTTTTCTTATTACTTTTCGAAAATGTACGAAACTAATCGAATTATATACCGAATGAAACATATACTGAAAAAAATTTACTAAATCTTAATAATATTTCTTTGAATAGTACTAAATAAACATTTACTTACAGTAAATAAGTTCACTCTATAAAAAGATGATAGTCAAATCAAATTAATGGTTTTTGTATCAAATATATATATAGTTACACTTTCAGTAAATATTTACTTAGAATTATTCAAACAAATATTTATTAAAATTTAGTATTTTTTTTCAATATAAACAGCAACCAATTAGATTGACCTGCTTTAACCGCAGACTCTTATAAGGTCTCTAATATTTAGCAGCCTTTACGAGTGATCCCATTTGAAAAGAATAGCTGCAATTGAAATCGATATCAATGCTTCTCTTCGGTATAATTTGACGTCTTTCGAAAATCGTTTGAGATTGTAGGACAGATAGAAGCTCGCAATAAAGAATCTCATCACATCGTGGTGGAGTCATACCAGTCACATTCGTTTCAATTGTTTGTTTTGCAAACGAAAAATATTCAGGTATTAGGAAAAACCACGTTCGAACTAATTACTCCAAATTATACGACAGGTACAATGAAAATATATTTTCAACCAGTCGTAAAGCTTCCAATTTTAAAAACAAATTGCTCATAGACAGACTGCATAGTCATTTAACGATCGAGCACACTTGAACGCTCCATTATTAAATGTGTCACCGTTTTGAAGACTCAGCAGTTCAAGTCAAGTTACAAATAACGTCAGTGACGTAATTGCGCGTTCAGTAATTGGAACTTGTAACGATCAGTAAAATCGGTATCCATCGTTACCTGTATTCGCACCAAAAAAAAAGAGAACCAGTCTTTCGTCAAAAGTCAAAAGTAATTCTACGAGTCGAAATAGCGGATTCGGTTCACGTGGGAAACTTCACCCGAGGCAAGTGCGAGATAAAGAATATATATACGCGTCCGATAAGAGCCACGGTGGAGTTTAGCGTACAGTCCTGTCACCTACACACGTGGATCGACACGCATGCCGCGTGTGTGTCTCTCCCACTTCCTCCCGTGCGCGATCACAAAGCCAACTCACCGACTGAAATTACATATCGTCTCGTTGTACACGCTACGGACTTACAAAACATGTTACCGTCGCGACACGCATGCTCGCGCCTGGATTTCTGCGACATGCACGAGCGATGACTCCACAACTCGGAGGCGCCTATGACCTACGCCCAATCAAGAGGTCTCGCAGGGTCACAGCCAATTATCCGTAATTATTATTAAGAAGAGAAAGATAGCAATTTGGCCAATTGAGTGTGACCGTAAATCTCAATCTCCCTCTCTCATGCCTCGTGGCTCGTCGCACGCGGATTATAATTTTTCCTACGGGATGCAGCATGGGGTTGCTTGTTCAGGTGATTATCAGCTTTGGAGAGTCTGGCACGGAGTGGTGCGCGGAGAAAATGATTGAGTAATTTTTACCTTGCAAGATTAGTAAAAATATTCTAGCTACTTTTGCCGAGCTTATAACGAACTTTATTTGGCTGAAAGAGTACCGGAGGTGTAAAGTAAAATATACATTACAATTATAGTAAATCCATTCAAGTATTGTATTATCTTATAGAAAGTAAACCATACTATTCTCAAGACTGTAGGCAAGAACAACTCTCAAAACTTTATGTATTTTTTATCGCGCAGTAAAGTAAATTTTGTCAGCGTTAAAGCAAAAATACTCGGCGATAAAGTATTCTATTGAGATGTATAGTAATTTATAGATTTATTTTACGAAATATAAAAAGTACCTTACACATTGAGAGAAAAAAAACATCTCTGGCAACTATAAATTGACAACTATACAATTTAAGTATCTCTCTCTCTCTCTCTCTCTCTCTCTCTCTCTCTGCAATTAATTTTACAAAGAACTACAGTACTACCGAATACTATATATTTTTATATTATATTATGGTCCGTATTCAGAACGCGCTTTTAGCTCTGAAATTCTATAATATGCGTAACATAAAGTACAGTATATTAGCGCGCTAACATCGTTGTAAGCGCGTTATAAATACGGGCCTATATTTTTATAATGGTAACAATATTAAAATTCCCGAGATAACAAATTCAAAAATATAAACGAATGGCAAACGTAATTAAAAAATTTTAGTCATTTATTATCATCCAGCCTTGTGACTGATGAGATCGTCTTTTTAATAGAGGAATGATTATCGCACAATGATTACGACCTGAGTAACATCACCTGTTGTAACAAGTCTACATGGATCTTTTGTAAGAGTCTCTATTCACTGAAAAAGGCTAGAATACTAGCTGAAATATGTACAATTTTGTTATGTAAGATAAAACTTTTTTAAGGCTAAATTATGCACCGTTCACTGTGCCAATTTCCAATTACCCGTTTGCCATTTGTTTATTTTTATAATATTCAGTACTATTTTAGTTCTTACTTTGTAAAACTAATTGCAATATTTAAATTTTAGAGTTGTCAATTTATAGTGTGTGTGTTACCAGAATTATTTCTTTTTTCTTAATACAATATGACTAAACAACGATCGCTCATTTATCAGAAAAGTAAAGTAAATTTTGCATAAGTGGACGTCTGTCTCCACATAGACCTGTCAATCCCAAAAAATTTACCAGTATTCTAGCACATATTACTTTACATTTTTCTCCGTGTGGTGTGTGTTCTTTTCTTTCTCTTTCTTGTTTCTCAATAATTATCCAATAATTCGGATCTTCTCTTAACATCTCTTTGAGATTTTTCGACTTTTCCACAAAAGCGTGAACGCTTTAGTTGTCAGCACTTTCCACTGTTGGCTCATTCGGCGTAAAAGGCGAGAGACGTGAGCCGACTCTTTAACGGCTTCTTGATACCGGACGTTCTCTACCTGCTGTTATGCACGTGTTATACCTGCTTGTCTGGTAGAAAATTACTGGAATGTAGGTCCCCGGCTCTCGGCCGAGGGGAAAACGTATACGTATGTCACGAGGGAGACTGAAAAGGCTCTTGTTCAATATAAAACATCGCGGGAAAAATACAATCAATCAAGAAGCCAAACACAGTCAGAACGCACGCATCGTATAACAATGTTTTTTTAGCCCATCGCTAATATTCTTGTTGAAGGCCATCTCTCTTCGCGGCTCTCTTCGCGATCGCGGGAAGTGTGTCGCGACCGAAATAGCGTGGGTGTCGCGCGGATGTTACGAGCGTGTGATGCAGGCATGTGAAGGTACAGAGAGAGAGAGAGAGAGAGAGAGAGAGAGAGAGAGAGAGAGAGAGAAAGAGAGACGAGGAAAAGAAATAAAACTAACGTGCTGGCACGCGGTTATGTTCCCGAAATTCCCTCTTTTTCCCCATGCTGAGTGATGAACGAGCCTCGGACCTCCGCTCCGCCGCGACCCTCGCCGAAAGAGCGACTCAACCAGATTCCAGCGAGGTGATACTATCCTAAGCCAAACCGTATGCGTAAAACGTAATCTATTAAAATTTTGCATATCTGACATGTCCAGTTCATTAAAGCAATATTTAATCCAGAAATTATAAGAAATTTTTAGAGTTGTTGAATTATAGTTGCAATGAATGCATCGTAATGAAGAGATTCTTCCGCAGTGAGTAAATATTCACGAAAAGAACGGTTTGTAAAATATCTAAAATTTTAGCTAGATACAAATCTAGAAATAATTTTGTTGGGCCATCAAAATAATTATGTAGGACTCGAACTGGTTGCTAGAATGTTAAAACTTTTTGCAGTATTGCTCATCACGCTTGAGATTCCTACAAAATTATTTTAATAGTTCGATAAAATATTTTCAGATCTGTATCTAGCTAAATTCTTAGATACTTCAGCAGATCATCATTCTTTCCGTGCATCGAGTCAAATCTATGTATTACCATGTTGATACTAAAATAAGAACAGGCGATAAGTATAAATGATCGAAATGTTACTGTTCTACAATTAGTTACTGCCCCGCTCCTCGCAGAGGTTGCACAAACCTAGATTTCAAACTATATTTAGAAATTAGAGAACTGCACATTTTCTCTCTGTAGAATCGTGCACTATACTCCATACAGCCGCACATGAAAATATTCCCGGATTTAACTCGGCTGGTTTATTTCGGTTGTCGCGTTCGCCATTCTAAATGATCGATTCCATTAACGTGGCGAACACGTTCACGCAGGACGGTTCAACGACATGGATTGTTAGGGCAGACGGCCAGAATACTCGCGTGAATCTTTTGATTTTTTTTTCACTCATCGATATAACAAATCAGAATGATATAGCGGTGATGAGAACCGCAGATAGATCCACGTGTCCCTCATAAATTTCCACGGTCATAGTAAACAACGTTTGAAGAGCACACGGACAGACGTTCAAAGCTGTGCGCGCAATGTGCGTGGACCGAAATGATATCCACTCGCGCGTTTATGACCCGTTCACGCCGTGAAGAAAATTGCAAATCGGTACTGTTTCCCATTAGAATTTCTATCTGAAGCCGAGCGATAAAAATAAAACGTTAAAAGAAACAAACCTCAGATTTATGAAGAGGAAAATTCAACCGAAGAATATACCCAGTCGACATTAATTAAAAGTACAATATAACATCAATGTTATAATTCCGTCAATATTATTATATAATTCCGTAATAACTCAACAATGTAACTATTATGTTACACCATGTGTTTTATTACATTTATATTGTCGAGTGCGAAATTATACTTTATAAAACGTTTAGAGTGAAAGCTCCCTCTGAACAGTGAAATCTCTCTCTTAAGATTAAAAATTGACTTTGATCACTCTTTTTAAAAAACTGGCTCAATTTTCACTCTTTAAAGTAAGATTCCAAAAATTTAGAGAGTAATATTGATGTTATGTTACTTTTAATTTTGTCGACCGGTATATTCTTCTTTCGTATTCTACGTTGAGAAATGCAATACCGTCGAAAAAGTGCTTTACGTGGCGATTTTCGTATCTAATCTACTAACGAATAAAAACCGAAAAATGTCAATAGAGATCCAGGTTACTCGGGTAATCTCGCGTAAGACAATCTCCTGGATAGCGATTCAATTTCGAGATAGGGTTTACTCACCTTCACGAGGGACGTAACGACCGGGCTGTCGAGAAGGCCCTTCAGGAACAGCAGGTCTGTGTCGTCGGCGACTTTCCCCAACTCCTCAATGTTGTCACGCACGTGCATGAACGCGGCTGGAACAGTAACGACGCACTTGTTCATAATCGGTTGCGAATTCACCGGGACTGGGAATGGCGCATCGCCGCATGCGGCATACGGCTGCAATGGCAGCAACAGTCGGGAGAAAGAGAGAAAGAGAGACTGGAAGAGGGTGACGAGGGAGAAGTGGGATTCCAACACGGGGGTCGCAGCGACGCGAGAGTGAACCCGGGCGTGGCCATCTTTCGGCCTGATCAATATCGTCAGCTACAGGTGGCTGAGGCTGTCACGCGAGATCCCCGTCGACTCTCAACTTGAGCTTCGAACATTTTTCTGTGACCATTTATCGCTTTCTTTCAACGATCTGAGAGAGTTGAAATAAAAGTTGAAATTACATTTCTAAACCGAATAATTACGCGCAAATAACGTGAGAGTTCCTTCAGAAGATTTCTGAAGGACATTCAAAACTCATCAATTGATCAATTCGATCGTGATATCAGTATTTCTTTTTAGTTAAAAAAAAATTTTTAGTTAAATAATGATCGTGTTTATATACGAGAAATTTTTAAGCTTTAGGATATTCTATACGCAATTAAAAGAATAAGTAATTATGTAACTTTCTTTGGGAGTCGAAAAATTATCAACCTCTATTCATTTTAATGAATGTGAGACTGAAAGTAAGTGTGCGAGTATAATGGGGTTGAGATTTATTTGAAATAGACTCAAGAGTCTCGCGAAGCGCACATAGTTATTAAATAATATATCCAAGAGCATTCAATTAGCGTTACCTCTATTCGCGACTTCAATGGTACGCCTTTCCAAGGCCTCTTAAGTATTATTATCACGTTCCATTTAGAATAGTTACACCTGTTAGCGGATCGATATTATCGATCGCGATGTGTCTGCTACTTCTTCGAATATTCTCTATTCCTATTCATAATTTGAAAATGTTTGTCGCGGTTAGCATTTTTATGATTTGCCGAGAAATGAAAATATAGGTATTTAGAAAATGTACGACCTATTCGTTCGCATTTAGAAACGCAACATTTTTGACGATTTATGAAATGCACGGCTTGTCAATTGATTATGCTCCAGCGACGCGTTTGAAACTCCCGAGTGCTCGATGAAAAGCCATTTGACTATGTAATAATAATCTGCTCGAACTATGCAGCGTATGAATGATAAATGTATGCCATTATAAAGCATTGAAACATGGCTGGGAACGCAAGAGACACAACGTGTATGGAATACGCTGCTGGTTTTCACGCTCATGAATCAAGTGAATATATTTTTTACGTTTGTCGCTTTAATATCGACATCAAATTAATATAAAAGCAATAATATGTAATATATTACAATATATATAATAGTATGATATTATCACGCAAATATAAAAACAGAAAAATATAAACGCTATATACATATATAATAATTATAGTATTATAGTACAGTGTATAAATTATATGTACATATATATATATATATATAAATAAATTATATTTATTACAAATGAGAAATGCTATTATAAATTAATTATTATTTTCTTATTACGCGTCATTCTCCCCTCCCTCCCTCTCTCTCTCTCTCTCTCTCTCTCTCTCTCAATAATATTACCAATTTAATTAGTTCATTAAATGCAATTCTGGAATGGTTCGCTTATTGCTACGCGCTGATGAATTTTACAAGCAGATAGAAAATGCAACCATTGAAAGTCGTCAACCGAAAGGCGTAACCGTTAAGCCACGGTCGTTAAAATAAAAGGGAAAAGTAAATGGGGGGTAGGGTGAGAAAGGAAAGGAATTAAAAATACGCGGTCGACGATAATATTTGTGCTCGTTCTCACCGGATGTTCGAAGAAATATGCCTCGCTATCAACAACGCGCGTATCTATTATACTCATATATACGTAAAATGCGAAAATATTTCTCTTTAATTTCGAGGAAACTATGTTGAGACAATTTCGTCAGAAACCACTTTCGTTTATTACGTGCGCGAGAAATCCATTCATCACGCGTGCCTCATCTGTGATGAGATGAGATACGCGTTGCGTATAATCGATGAATATGCGGTGCGATAATTGGACAAACTTTTACCGTTGTCGATTTGATGAATTATCGAGCCGTTCATGGCATCCATGCTGGCCAGCAATCGCCGATCCTCCAGCTTTTCTTTTCTTCCGAAGAAAACCATGATAGCGACATTCAGCTTCGTGTCTCCTTTGAGAATTTAGGATTCTTTTCGGGCAGTTTTCTCGGTTTCAACAAAACTTCGCCGCGAGTTTAATTACGCTTTCACATTCACATTATATTACTCCTTCAACTTTTCCACCACGTGTTTACCATATAAAATTGTCATTATTCTGGGACTGAAGTATCTTTACTTTATCTCCGGAGATTAAAGTATCACTTTTTTTTAGCTCTTTTAACGCGGAAAACAAGTTTGATATTTAAATCTTGAGACTCTCGAGGTTGGCCTTGTCGAGAATTGTAAATCACTATTAATTCACCGTTTGAAAACACTGCTCGCTAAGGAAAACCGTCTTGGTCGTTACTTTCCTAGCTGCCACTTCGCAGTGAATGGAAACACTCTCACACCTGCCGGGGCCTCGAGGGTCCCTGGTCCAGACGAGGGGACCGCAAGCGGCACCCCGCTAAGGTAGTGGGGCGACTAAGAAGGCGAGCCCGATGCTTGTTGACACGGCTTCGAAGTCACGTAATTCATACTGTTCGCCACGCTTGGAATCCTCGGATGATGGCCGATATATATATCGCACGCGAAGAAACTGCGAGGAACAAATGCGAAGCCACGGCGATAAAAAGGTGAATGGAAGAGATCGGAGAAGGATCTTGATCGAGGAAACGTAAGCGCCACCGACTGCCGACTGACTTCGAAGATTCAAAACTGGCTTCTACGAAGGGTCGGGGACGTCCACGCAGCCAGAAACAAACCAGCTGGTGGCTGCTGCTGGACCAATGGAGGGGGCAGAGCATGCAGAACGGGAAAGAAGAGAAGAAAAGTAGAAAAGAGGCGGGAATATCGCCACGCGCTAATTGTTCGACAAGTCAATCGTGATTCAAGACTTTCCTTACGGAAATGTCTTTTGTTCTATCTTAAATGATACCCCGAAGAGATAAGACATGAATTATCGTATCTCGCTGAATCCGCGAAAGTAGAAAGATCGAAGAAATTAGAACCAATTCAATTAGAACCGAGACAGTTACGAGAGCGGAGTAAATATAGAACGACTATACACTCGTTTTCGAGTGACGGAGCAATTTTTATGACATCTTTTTAGTACACTGAAAAAAAATTTATTAAATCTTAATACATATTTCTTTAAACAGTACTACTAAATATTTACTCAATAAAAAAATAATAGTTAAATAAAATTAATGGTTTTTGTATCAAATAAATATATGCAGTACTAATACATACTTTTTTAAGCAGTACTACTAAATATTTACTCAATAAAAAAATTAGTTAAATAAAATTAATGGTTTTTGTATCAAATAAATATATGTTTACATTGAATAAATATTTACTTAGAACTATTCAAACACATGTAATTAATAAAATTTAGTAATTTTTTTCAGTGTAGCGACTATCAATTTTATCGTAGAGAAACGTAGCGTTTCCTTTCACTTTCCTTTATCTAAATTTATCTAAAAAAAATGGCAATATCTACTTCTTCTCGAACGAAGAGAGAAAACAGCGAGGAAACAATGCGATAATCGCTAAAAGTAACAAGAAGAAAGCATTCGAGGAGATATGAAGAAAGTGTGATGATATATAATTCAAAGAGAGAAAAGGACGAGGAGAAACGTAGAAACAAATCCGATAAAAGCAGAATCTCTCTAGCATCTGGATGTCAGACACCGGAAGTGTTTCCATCAAGTATTGCCCAGAAGAGTTCTCCATTACGAGAAAGAGGAAGCGATCAGTGGTCGCTTTTCTCGTTCAAGGTTGCACGCCGAGCACATCATCGATCGCGTCAAGTTTTTCGTCGTCCGGAGAACACGTGTATGGCGATCGATCGAATCGCAAACCATTGACGAACTTCGAACGGCTCGCCGGTGCTGATAGATTTAGGTTCGGTTCCATAAATGTAAGATTAACTTTAACTCGAATTTAATTTATTATTTATTTTTTTCTAATTGTTTATAGAATTAGAATTCTTAAAATTAAAAAAAAAGAAAAATTGTAAACCGAATCAAACTAAAATTAAAGTTACATTGGTAGAAATAGACAGCATTCGGATTGATTATATTCTAGTATATAGAGTATTTTTTCAAAATTTTACATTCGCTCGTGAGAATTTCGACAATGTGATATTTCGAATAATTATCTTGATTGTTATAATCGAAGAAGGACTTCTCACTCGACGTTGATAAGAAAGGCATCGGGTCATTTATTTGATACAGGGATGTTTAGAAATTTCACGGAAATCTCACATCTAATGTCGTATCGTGGAAATGATACATGTATTGCGGTTTTATCTTTCAGATCCAACTTACTTCGTAAATTTGTTTGCTAGTCTTACCTGAGGTGGAGTTGAGATTTTTCTTTTGGATAATCGACGACAGAGCGGAGCACCCGCATATGTCTTCGATGCTTCCCCGCGATTTGCTCCTCCTCATTTCGATTGACTTCCCTCGATGACCCCGAGCGACATCACGTCTACCCCGGTCGATCATTCGGATCCTCCGCCGTCAGGAGTCCAGCCATTACGATGGTCCCTCGTGGACCATTTGCCGATCCTGCGAGATCGCCGTCATCGTTCGCCTTCTCGTTGGAGGTTCCACGTGTTGTTGCGCGCCGTCGGCTTCCCGTCGACGAATCAACGGCCCTCGGGGCTCTGATCGAACGACGAACAGACGATCACGACTGTTACGCGATTGGAAACGGATCAGGATCTATTCATAGATCGAAACGACTTCGGCGTCCTAATCCAAGTGGTGTTTCCGCGTACGCGAAAGCGATACCACGCTGGCGGGACCACGGGGCGCACATGAGCCGCGCGAACCGACCGCAACCGGTACTTATAGTCGTTGGTCCGAAAGGGGTGGCCTTTGTAGCACCCTGCCTATCTCCCTCTTCCTCTCTCTCTTTCTCTCTTGCTCTCTCGTAGCAATTCCTCGACTCGTGGCAACGACGACTGGTACGCGTTATATCCTCCCCGATCGATAGTAAGCGCACCCATGAAAGGGTCGCAAATATTCTTCGCGGGGCTGCGCGCCAAGAAGGGCTGACACAAGAAATTGTTGTTACCAAAGTTTTCAGGATAATACGCTTCCTCTTTTGCTCTTCCATCTCGCTGCTGTTTGCGAAATTTGCGAAATGCTATTTTTATGAACGTTGAAAGGACTCGTGTTAAAAAAAACAAATGAAAATAACTTTATCTCGGAGATTAATATTTTCTTTATTATCATTCTCTTTCCATGAGGTATTTTAGATATCTTCATGTTTTAGAGAACCGGAATTATTTTTTAATAATGCTAATATGATGCTATCTATGATAAGTACGAAAATATTCATCCTCACTTTGCTTAAAAATATCGTATAAAAATTATTATTAAATTCTATCTAAATTAAAACTTGACGTAACATCTTTTTGCGTAATTTCATCTACGTGCAGTACATAAAAGATAATGTGCTCTAGTTACTCTAAACACATCTCGAAATCTCTCTCGTAAACGTATCACTGTATTTTAACAGCTGTTGGCAAGTAACACCAGAGAAAGTTCCGAGTGCGGTAAACATTCTAAACCGAATGTAAAGCTTAGCGGTAGGTAATCCAGGTCGCGCGATGTTTCTACATCTTATGTCATTAAGACGAGATGGCGACTGCTTCCAACTAAAGCAAGCTTTGTATAGTAATGTGCTTAAAAAAAAAAAAACTAAAATCGTTTGTTATAACATCAATTGTGAATAATCAAATTGAAGAGATTTTACTTATAAATACTTCCTCGTATTTAAAAAAGCAGTAATACCCCTGGAAATATCCGTGGAAGTCTCAAAAGTATTATCAAAAGCAGAACCAAAGAATCATAGAAAGACTAAACTTCGATGAAAAAGATTTAGACTTTTGCAATCATCAACAAAGATAGTGTCAATGATTAAAATAAGAATCGTCACCGCTTTCGGTTGTTTATCAATGCGTTTTTCCTTTGCTTTTCATATAAATATAGAAAAAAAGAACGCGAATATAGAAGAAATGAATATAGGTTTAATGTACGCAAAACATGGTTTTGCTAAAATATCTAAAAATTTAAATAGATACAGATCTGAATAATTTTGTTGAACCTTCAAAACAATGTAGGACGCTAGCATTAAAACTTTTTGCAGTATTGATCATCATGTTTGAGTTTGAAACATTTACACTAAAAAAAATTTACTTAATCTCTTAAAATATATTTCTTTGTACTAAGTAAACATTTATTTACAGTAAATAAATATTTACTCAATGAAAAAATGATAGTTACATCAAATTAATAACTTTTGTATCAAATAAATATATATGTTTATATTTAGTAAATATTTATTTAGAACTCATTCAAACAAATATTTATTAAAATTTAGAATTTTTTTTCAGTGTGCATAATTATATTTTGATAGTCCAACAAAATTATTTTCAGATCTGTATATGACTAAATTTTCAGATATTCCAGCAAAACTGTTCCTTCCTTGGAAACATTTTCGTTTGAAATTAAAGATGCATTTTGCGTCTTCCAAGACTACATAAATCCGGGTATTCATTCTCATTCATCTACCATTCCGTCTCGTGTATCTTCATTGCATTACGATTTTTCGTTTCTCTCCGTCTAATCGTCAGAGCGATGCGAGAGCGCAGGCGACCTTACGATCAGATTGGCTGATTGCTGCGAGCCAGGGATTCGATGATGATCCATGTGCGAAATGACGTGCGACAAAGACGGACGTGGCCGCGTGCAGTGGCGATGATGACGGCAATTCTTCCTCTCGCAAAGTGTGTCACTCGCTATGCAACGGGATAAAGCTACTCGAGGAAGGACGCATAATTTTTTTCTCCATAAGCACTGCTTGAAATTTCCCTACGCGAATTACGATCGTGACGATCGTATTCTCCACGAAACGAATTTGTCAAATAAAAAGTTCGTGTGTTGATTTAACAGTGCAGAAAACGTTTGTGAAAAAAAGAAAAGAATTTTGTGACTGCGGGTATCGGAGTGCAATCATTGTGAAAGATAAAGGCACAATGTGTTTGATGTGACATTTCTTCAGTTATCCTGCGAGAACAAATCTCTTGAAACAATTGATAAAATCAAGAATGGAAGAGACGTCGAAGAATTGATAGTTCTTTGATTTTTATCTCGGATGGTGTTATTGCCTACGGTTGAAAAGTCACGAATTCCTTTTTCGATAGTGATATCGTCTTTTTTTGCAACAAGCGAAAAATGTGCGATAGTTCGACGTCTTTATTGTAGAAGGTTTTATGTAAAAAGGTTAAAAGGAACCAAGTATGCGCGCTCAGACATTGGTACTTTGTGCGTTTCGATCGTCACAATATTGAAAATGGTGCACGCCTGGCGCGATGCAATATTTCGAAACGACATGTTTCATGACAGGAGGAAATCGTTAGCAACTTTTTGTCTTTATGGCTGACAGTATAGTTTTAGACAGCAAACGCTTATAACGGAAGATGCATCTGCCGTCGCAACAAACGTTCCCCTATCATTCTTTATCTTCATTTATTAAATTAAGAAAAGACAGTAAATTTCTTTCATTTTTGAGAACAGT